AAAATGATACCCGGGGTCAAACAGCAAAGTTACCACAGCATCACAACCAAGTCAGTAACGGGTAAATCCTCCTCTGTTTGCCAAACAAGCATTGATCCGACGTGGCATACTCCTAATGAGACGTCTAAGGTCATTTTGGTCCAGATTGTCCCATTCCTGTTGCAACGCAGCAGCAAGTTCTTGGACATTGGCAGGACGTTGTTGACGTTGACGTAACCTCTGTCCAAGCATGTCCCAGACATGCTCGATGGGGGAGAGGTCGGGACTCAGTGCTGGTCAAGGTAATGTGGTGATGTTCTGTTGTTGGAGGTAACCTGTAACGATCCTGGCCCTGTGACATCTTGCGTTGTCATCCTGGAAGATGAAACGGCGGCCATGACGTCGTGCGAACGGCACAACATGGACTGCCTGTAACACGCCCTGCAACAACATGTAAAGCCGTTCTTCCAGTAACAGTGATGCCTCCCCACACCATAACAGAACCACCCCCAAATCGATCATGTCTGATGACGTTAACGTCTTGGAAGCGCTCGTTTCGACGACGCCACACCCTCCTACGTCTGTCCAAAAAATCAACAGTGAACCTTGACTCATCTGAAAACATCACATTGCTCCAGCGTCGATTATCCCAGTGTTGACGATCCCTACACCAACGACGTCTTGCCTGAATGTGATGTTCTCTCAAACAAGGGATCACGCGAGGACGTCGGGCGCGAAGGTGACCCCGATGCAGTCGATTCCGAATCGTCTGGCCACTCACTCTCACACCAGTGTCTGTTTGAAGACAAGCGCTGATCTGATTTGCTGTGATGACACGATTTCTCAACTCCAAGGTACGGATAAATCGATCCTGGGCTTGAGTTGTCGCCCTTGGTCGACCTGAGCGTGGTCTGTCCTGTACAGATTGTGTATCACGGTATCTGGACCATAGCCTGCTTATGACAGACTGAGAAACATTTATCGTCCGCGCCACAACCGCCTGTGTTGTGCCGATCTGTAGCATGCCAAGGGCACGTAACCTTTCATTTTGGGTAAGCCGACGCATATCACAATTTGTTTTCTGGTCACTAAAACAATTAAACTGATGTTTCCACCCTGGAATTCAATGCCACAATGACTGTAACATTCAAAGTCAGAGTCGTGCAAATCTTGGGTTGGACCCCCATGATGATCCCAAGCATCACCTGCATTCCATGCGGTAGCTATTGGTGCGTTTGGGCGTCACATGTAACTGGAAATGTTTCTTCTGTAAGGTTCTATAGTGACTTTTTTCGTAGTCATTTGCATATTTTAGTATTATGCCCCCAAAATCAAATATCCCCTACTTTTTTTGAATAGTATATGATTATTAATTGGCGGGATTGATGTTAGTCCCACTGCCAGAATGTTGGTGGTACTACTATGGAACTAACCTGGATGCAATCATACATTTTTGAATATGTATAATGTAATGACAGCAACATTCAGTTATTTTTGCATAATAAAAAATGAAAACTGGCTGATAGTAATAAATGAAAGCACATACTAATGGGAATCCTCACAGTTTTCAACCTGACTTCATTACTCCGGATTAGTAATCACGATAATCGTGCATACGAAGCTGAACTTTATTTGTAGTTAAAACATTTAACCAAGAAACAATTATTTCTCCGGTCGCTTTCACGAATGAGATGTAAAGATGAATGATGCCACTTCTATCAATAAATTTTACCATACAATAATACGTATATTTACGATTTTGCATTGAGCAAACATCAATTATCATTACAACTGTCTGAAGCTTTTATTGTATAAGTTTAAGAGCATTAAAGTCCTCTTTCCTCTAATCGAGTTATTTAAACGGGTGGTAGCTTTCATTTTATTGATCACGGTGTATTATTTATAGTGTATTGCTATTGGGTGCAATCCAATGAAACGGTACCCATTGATATCTTTAGTAGATTCTTGGTAAATGCTATTATCAATATCTCGTTTTATGTGGGTATTCCCGATGCAGTTTGGCAGCCTCATCACTTCAGGTGATAATTATAAGAATGCACACCTGGCGACATAGATGCACGGTGTATTTAAATGTGTTTAGAATTATTCTCACGCCAACACATTAAAAGATGATTATATTTCCTCTATATATAACCATCCATTGGTAAACATGTTCAAACTACCAGGCAACTATATATGTAATGTTAGGAAATAGTTACATCCAAGAAACTCTGAAATATAATACAAATATTAAAGGAGCTAAGTCTCTAACTCAATATTTTCCATAAAATTCGAAATTAAAAACACGAACTAGAATTCGATTTTGATCAATATTGATGTTGTTATCATGCCGTTAAACTACAGGATCCTAATATCCAATATTTAAGATACACTTAACATTTTATAATTAGTACACGAGTCGTGTAAACTGTGGTGTCGAGTGTCATTTTGTAATGAACAAATAAAAACATATCCTACAACACAATATGGCAGTAATTAGTAAAGGCCGATCCACAAAAGATAAAATAATAATTTAAAAAAAACGTGTAGAATACACTAAGCAGGGTTCGTTCAATTTTACGTATTTTACCGAACGTAATTGATTATAGAAATTACGAATTTTTTTTTCTCCAAAAATTGGATATAAATCACTTTAAGTAAATTCATATTACATTAATATGTGCTTTTGGAACCATTTTTTTTCTTTTCTTCTATTTCAAGGTTCAAAATAATAAAGCCATACGTTACGCCCTTTGTTGTGGGTAGCTTTTAAAGTCTTATCAATAGTTTTGACATGAATTTCAATTGACTGTATAGTACGGTAAAACGGGTAAAATGTGTACTTAATTTCACTAGAACAGTACTACAAAAAGTGGTATACTTTATAACTAATGGTAATCCTTTCAAGTCCTTACATATCAGAGTTAATGTATAAGACCATGCAGAATCAAAAGTTGTTTAATGTATTGATGTATTCTAGATTTCACTTCTTAATGTTTTTTTATACAGTTGAAAATAGTTATAATATTTACAAGTCGTTTTTATATGCTTTAATGGCTCATTTACCATGTCCGAGGTTCGATCCTGGTTGTGGATGAGGAAGTTTCCAGCGTTGTTCCCCTTGTCGGTGGTGTAGGACGGAGGGTCTGGCAAGGAACAGTGTCTAGTCGTTCGGGTACGACAAAAGGTCGGGTACACGTTAACGGGCACGTAAATGAACCCTTGCCAGTTGGAATGCAATTTCTCTTCGGGCAAAATAATGGTGCATTGCAGTCTTCACCCCATTTTCTTTCATCCATTATGATATGTGATGTAATACATGTTGTAAACATACATCAAATTTTTCGTCCCACCCGAATGACTAGGTACACCTTGTACAATCTAGTCGATAATTCAATCCCTGGCCGCTCGGCTACTAACGCCTAAAATATTTCTCCCACATGCGGTCATATTCCTTATATTATGTGATACATAATGTATTAGCAGTGTTTCATAGCTCATGATCTCACCACATGAAAAATAACTTTGAAAGATTACATAGACAGAGGTCTTTGGTTTCGGGGACTACAAAGTTAATTTTACATACTCGGATTCCTTTGTCACAGTGCTGGTAGAGTACATGCTTTGTGTTACCATCGACATACACCGAATACTTGGTCGCATAGTTAGGTATACTATAGCGTAATAAAATAACATGTACTTATTGTTTGGATGTGTAACAAACCACATTGAAGCAAATTCTTTTAGCAAATAGCAACCAGATGCGACAATCCTCGACACATGTTTCTACACAAAGTTTGTATGCATGGAATCGGGGGTGTATATCTCAATATCATATACGTGGCTTGTCAAAATTACTAATCGAGAATTCCAGCAACGAAATGCAATAGGCAACAGTCTATATATAGGCGGATGTGCAGGGCGGGGCACTCTTTTCGTACATAAGTTCGGCAATTACCTTGAAACAATGAAGCCGACATACCAAAAAACCTCTTCCGGATTTCATCTCTATGCTGATTACCGAACTACGTCATAGGTATAAAGAATCAGCTGTCGTGTCATTCCGACTATTTCAAGTATTTCTGTAATATAATGGTTAAAAATGGTGGAGTAGTTCAATATTTTGAATTTTTGGAATTCTAAATACTATTTACAGTCATGTTCTGTCGGTGTATATGGTACTGACAATTTAAAACTCTACCTCCTGTGTGGTTGAACCTGCCTTCACTCATCAAATAAAAGATGTATTTTGCTTGTTTTATCCAAGCCAAGATTAAACTTTTGGCGTTTACACAAATTACACTTTACAAGTACTACTCCCATCGAATGAGGTCTAATTTGCAAATTGCATGACAACTGCTCTAGAGACAGGGAGATTAATGATCAAACATTTCCGGCATGTTCGCGGTGTCTTTATCGTATAGTTTGGTACAGATACATGGTGTCCGACACATTGTGTTTCCTTATATGTGATGCACTTTCTTTTAAAGTCACAACATGCCATAATAACCGTATAGAATTTAAGATCATACACAACCGAAAGTACTTTTATTAAAATCATTTTGGTCTAAAAATTATTCATATCGATTGATTCCAACTTAAAGTCATTTTAGATCTCGTGTTGTCTCTCTTGTGCATTCCATTTCGTACAAGCTAGTCCGTTCTACATAAAGGTATTTTTATAGTCAGGTGTGGTTAAATACATAGTAACAACAGTTTTTACATTAAATTATACATATTTTTGACTTTTAAAATACATGATTGTACTGGTGAAGATACCTATTGTAGCCAAAACAATTACTATACGATTACCCTTCACAAATTTTAAATCAACCTGGAATGCCTCCACTTCTAGATTTAACCATCTGGCAGGGCGTGTTATAAATTTAAGAGTTGGTTGTGAAGGCGGTGTGTTGTAATTGCTACAAGCCGGCTTGAGCAGAGAGAAAAAAAAATTTACTACATATTCACAATAGTGAGAGAAAGAACCGCTATTTATTATCATATTTATGATAATTTCCTCATTCGGTCTTGAAGTTCCAGGCATTCCTTATATCTTGGGATGGTCTTTGTCCAATACCCGATATGCTGAGTTGACTGAATGGTGTAGCTAATTGCATATCGTGTTTATATATGCAGTTGTAGACTAGGATTGATATACAGTAAGCAGCATTTTGCCGTTTTCTGAATTTTACCATAATCTAATACTATAAACAGTTTTAACAAGTGTGGTTCCCATTTACACTAACAGTGATAACAGACAACGGTGGTGATGATGATGATAATGATGATGAGATAGATTATGATGTGTTATAAAATATGGACCTATAACTCGAATCAGTGAGCTGAAGGAATTTTCATTCATGTGACGTATGTGTTAGGTTGAAATAAGTTTCCATTTAATCTACGGGACGATAATAGACCTTTTGTTGGGGTTTGATATAACGTGTATTGTTCATTTTGCTTCATTTCTTACACAAATTGAAAGAAAACACGAGGTGTCTTCAACTTTCTTAAGGCCACATAATTACCAATTTGTTATCAATTGATATTGGATATTATACTTGTGATAAACTCGTTTAACATCTATCTATATCTAGTGTGCGATATAGTACGTCGATTCTAAAGATCTGTATCTCTGTTGTGTGGGTATCTAAGCAAGGAACTCTTGTACCTGTGTTACGCGTTCATAAAGTTGGTGGCTTTTCTCACGCTCGATTTTTGGTTCATATTCTGAGATACTTTGATTGAGAACAATGTACGGTTGTACAAGTGAGTACATGGCTAGTCTGGGACTGGTCACTTTACTGAGCCTCATCTCGGTGGCTGTAGGAGGTCATAAAGAGGGTGATATTAGACTGGTCGGTGGTCGACATGACCATGACGGTACTGTGGTCATATATCACAATAAGAAGTGGGGTGCTATATGTGATGACGAGTGGGATTTGAGAGATGCTAGAGTCGCCTGTCAACAGCTGGGATTTCCTGGTGCCAAAAGAGCTGCTAAAAGAAGTGAATTTGGCCGAGGAAGAAGTAAGTTTTTTTATGTATTTATTTTATTGACAATTCTCCTTAGTGAAAAGGAGCTACAATTTTCGAAATCTGGCTGGTTTGTTGACCAAAAGTGCAGATGGTGACCAAATTTGTGCATGTATAAAACGATATTATGTTTATCAATGAAACTAAACAGTCTTATATAAACATAAACATTGTTATACAATTACATACACCCACATAATATTTATGTCTGCTGTCAAAATTTTTCAGGTAAAATATTATTTAAAAAGTCGTTGATTTATGCTCATTTAGTTTTAAATACGATTATCTGATTGGCATGTTATGTGGGCTGATGAAAGAAATAATAGTTGCACCACCCATACAGTTTATCTTTTACAGATAAGACGGGGGGGGGGGGCTTTGTTTTTTTCCGCTGATTTCTAAGAAGAATGCATTGTCTATCAACTTTGTAAGAAAGATTAAACAACGTTGCCTTGTCTCTTGAACGATCCCCTCCGCTATAAGTATTTCAGTGGGACGACAGATACAATAGTGATGCATATTATCCAATAAAAAAAGAAGACTTCTAAAGAGTTGACAGCAACTGTTTCCGCGATTGAAATAAAAATGAAATGGGGTTTAACGCCCTACTGTTCTGCTACGACTAAGCTAACAAACACAGGCATTCGCCATAAAGTGTGATATGAGGGACAGTTTGCCCGGACAGCGGCGCTATAACCAACTCTAAAATCGAATTCCAAATGCCAAGGAGTATTTTAAGTGCACGCCAATGTGTACACCGGATCTCGTTTTTTCGTCCCGTTCGAATGACTAAACGCTGTTCAGTGCCAGGCCCTTTGTCTTGCATCTCTGACAAGGGGGGTTCTGATGAACTTATTCGGCCAACACCGGGATCGAACACGAGATCTGTTCCCACGATTGACCGGATGACAGTTTAGTTAATATAACTGCTAGGTGTATAAATATTTTAACTTTGGTTCAATGACCGAACATGAGTTTTATTTCCATATACACTGTAGTCAAATCACACACTGAGAGGTATTTTGGCCAATTTACATGGTCAAATAGCATAAGATTCAGGGGAATGATATACATAGTACGTATATGTCATATAGATGCTAAAACCATTAGAGTATACACGTGAAATTAATCAGGCATGATGGACCCATGCTGCTCAAATTTAATACGAAACAGTCTCTACATAAAGGTAACAAAACAAATAATGTCTTAAGGTAGCTTAAAAATAACAAGTCAATGATATCAAACAGTTTGAATTTCAATAGACTTAATATACTGGAGACATCGCTCAGTGGCACAATAATTGTAATAACTAAGTTCATTTCATTGGTCAGAAAAGGTACGGATGAGAAAACCTTTAAACAGACCGATTAAAAATATCGGCTGCCAGGCAACAAAATATACGACCTTGAGCACAAGTTATAAATAGTCTGAGATGCCGTTACATGAATATTGTTCACAAACTTTGTGGCAAACAAGACAATGGCAGAAATTGTTTTTAAAAGGGGCTAACTATCAAAGATCAAACTTTCAAAGCATAGACAGTTCACATACTGGATAATCATTGACAATTGTCAGTCTATTAATAACTTTCTTTCCTTTAAAACGGGCGGGGGGGGGGGGGCAATTCTTTACTTATATAGTGTCGACACAAAACACAAAATCGGCTAAATCACAAAAACAGATTTATCTATAGACTTAAACAGTTTTCGGCGAAGAAAGAAATGCATTAATCAGCATGTGAATTAAAGTACAAAATATCTTATTATTGCTCCTATAGTATACGAATATATCTGTTTACACATAATGATGGTTGGCGAAGTATATAAATAAATAACATGCTAATGTTACACGGTGGATTTATGGCATCCATCAAATCATAACGTACAACGAACCCAGTCGTTCACATACCGGAAAATAATACAAATAAATGTACTATATTACAAATACTTTTGTAAGAATTATGTAATTAAGTACTTTCTAATAAAAAAAAGAATAAATAAATTAAGAATGGGTTATAGGAAAACTATTGCAAAATTATTATTACTATAATTATCTAAGACACTTAACGATGGAGGTGTTAAATCAATAGAAACCAATATAAATTTGAAATGCTCATAACCTGCATGTAAGTTAGACTTTGTTGTCTATGGGTTGTATATTCTTTTATTTTGGCATCTTTGGGTGTTAAGCGTTACCTTATAAAGGTTTCTTCAAATCCTGTTCAATTGGTAATTGTTTATATAGAGAGTGTTTCATAATATGTTTTATATTTTTTTTTAATTATAACTTTTTGGTAAATAGTCGATTATATAGTAAACACCAGTGGAATCATACAGTTTTACCTAATAAGTTTCTGGTTTATCACGTTACTAGCTTAGTTACTCGGAGCTGCACGGGTGAGTGTCTTGTCAATCTCATCGTTAAATTCTGCACCAGATGCAAAATAAGTAGCACCATCAAATTTCTTGTAAAGGAAACTGGGTAACATGAATTCATTAGCTAACTTCAACTGCTTGGTTTCCTATAGCGAACTAACGAACAAGCAAATATACTTTAGGTTGCATTTCATCCCAAAGTTCATGTTAGTACACCAAATTTCAAGATGTAGCTCCGAAAGCAACCCTTCCAGCCATCTTCATCTTGTGAAACATACTGTCTGGGATGTTCTTATGACCAGCCACTGTTGTTCCACCTTCAGAAAAGAAGTTATGGACTGTCTAATAACTGTAAACTGATGATATTTACATTGAACTATGCAGATCAGAATAGGTGCCTTTGTTATAGAGAAATGCATTCATTATAACATTCATTATATTATTTAGAATACCTGAACTTCTGGCATTGGGTCGTTGATATCCTTTACTCGACACAAACTAGGTTATTTCGGGATTAACAAACGGTTCAATTTCATTTTAATAATTCGCTTGTGCGTAGGGGTCTAGTACAAAAAGCACATGCTCGGTTATTGTATTCTAATATCAACTAATGTCGGTCTTTTATGTGTGCGGGGTCATTTTCTAAATATTTTAATCTATGCTCTACTTTCTTGTAATTTTCAATTGAAAATGTGTTTAATTTTTTGTTTATAGTTTTGGTTCATATTTATGTGAGTTAAAACACTCCATTACGCGGAAAAAAGTAATTTGGCCGCGATCTTTCTGTCACATCGGATTTCTTCCCGTGAGTTTCACTTTTTCCAGCATAAACTCGGGAGTCGTGAAAATCAATTAAGCGACTATTCTGTAATATAGTCCCTCGGAAATTTCTGGCGTGTTTTTTTTCTTGTCACTGGTGCATGCGGAATCGCTGACAAGAAACACCATCTAGTCGTTGGTGTGCATTGTAAAATAACCCTTGACTATGGGAATTAGAAATATGAGTGGGCTGTAGTGCCGCGCGATATTTTCCCCATAGCACACTGTATGGGATAATATGTTCCTTAGCCCAGATGGTATAGAAAAGTAGGACGTTAAACCCAATTCATTTGATTTCATTTATTCTAAAATAAATAGAAAAATAGCCATTCACTAGTTTGACAGGAGGTAGTTTTTTTTAAATAACTATAGAATTAATGTTTTTTTATTTTAACATTGGCCTCGCTTATTATTATCTTTCTTCTGGAATCTACCAGGAAAAAATATACATAATTTTAATGCGCTGTACGCCCTTGAATCATGACACTCTCGAAGTGTCTCGAAACTATATATAACGTTGAAGAAAATTAGGAATGCAGTTAAACAAGCGATCAGATTATTCTAGAATGTTTGTCTACGTGTAATGACAGTTGATTTATGTTACTCATGATCAACGTGCAATTAGGGAAATCTGGAACCATTCGGAATATTCTAAAAATATGTACGGTACTTGGAATGACTGACTCGGTGAATGGGGGCAATCTGGAAACCAGACTAATTTTTAAACAAACATATTATGCGGTGTACTGTGACTAAAATAGTACAGTTTGTGAATAGTTAATATTTTTGTTACCATCAAACTTTGATGAGGTTTGAGAAAAGTTGGTCAAGCGGTCAGGTCTGCTATAACCATAATCATTAGTTTTACATGTATATAACACTTTCCATATCAACATCCACATACTGATACATATCTTATGCACTAACACTTATACCACGCGTCATCTCTCACGTACTCAAAACTACAAAATGGAACGCGTTTTGAATTTTTTTTATATACCCTTGAGCCTAGGCGGAGAGTTTTTCAATACGGTTATTAAATCTTCCGAACTCTGCAACCGCGATTTATCAAATTCCTTTCGAAAGTAGAATTGCAGGGGAATTAAAATATGTTCGACAGTCTCTCTGTCTGTCCGTCACACTTTGTGGGACACAATAACTCTGCTTTTAATTGGGCTAGAATGTGCAAACTTGGTGTTGATGTTCTTACTAGGTGAATGGGCATTTCCTACTATGGTGTTTGTCGATGCTTTGGGACACAATAACTTAGATTCTAATTAAGTGAGAGTAGGCAGATTTATAGGCAATAGGATTGGTCCAGGGTGTTGACTTTGAATCTAATTAAGTGAGCTTCATTTTTATCATTACCATGACTACATGAAGATCTGACCAGTTGTTTTGGGAGGTCGCGTCAGAGGTCATACGAGCGGCCTGTGACCTATGACGTCAGACATTTGATTAACCAATCAGCATTGAGGTTTCTAGTGGATTACACACAGTTCCGTGCACCTCACGTTAAAAGCTCACCGTAACAGACCTCTCCATTGGCTAATCCCTCACCTCAACCAAAACGAGGGTTATATAACAACTCTTCCAGATCCTAGTGTAGTGCAGACAAGTAAAACGCAATTTTGAACTATAAAAAGCGAAACGAAAAAGGGTCTGTGTTTTAATCAGATTGGCTAAGTGCAGTAATAGACATTTTGATTGGTTGATGCTTTGGGGCACGCTTTGATTCTAAATGTGGGAAACTGTTAAAACCTTGACTAAGTTCGATCATGTTCATTTTCTGCTTGGATTAAGTAAAGATGAGTGCATGTAGATTGGCTGCTCGATGCTTTATAAAAAGATAAATATGCAATTGGTTCGTACGTGCCTTGTCGGGATGGGTCACCATCGTTATCAATACATATCCCAGAAATTGATGGGGTCCGGACATGTTAATGAGTTTACTCCAAATCCGCATCCAAGCACTTAAAGCATTATAGAAACCTAACTAAGTTTATATATCAATTGCGGATACAATGTGATTCCTTTTAAGTTATGCTAAGTTATTTTTGTTAATATTTTCAATATAGTTGACAATAACTGAAAGTATAACAATTGGAGGATCTCTGGGGATTTCTTGTTCCTCTTTTACAAGATCGAAATTGCTGTCAGGTTTGGTTTGGACGCTATTATATAATTTAGCGAAGTAAACATATTTGCTTCCCTAAAATAATCTGACCTAGAATGTGATTTCCTCCTAATGTAGCGTGCCTTAAAAAACTATGTCCGATGTTACTTCCATTTTTCTCTTTTTCGAAACGTTAATGACTTTTCACTTCGTCTTTTGACATTTTAATATCTTTATGTAACATATTCCAGATTGCAGCCTGTTGCGTTGACCAAGGACTCTCAAACCCAAAATGCATTTTAAACTAAAATTACCCATTAGTGTCAGCCCAATCAAAGCACAACATTCTAACCTTTTTGTTTTAAATTGAATCAAATGTTTTCCATAAATAAAATTGCATTAGTATCAGCTTAGCCGGCAAGTCTGGAATATTTTCCTAAAACAATATACTTATCTATTTTGAAATTTCAAAAGCAGGACAATTCAATTAAGCAAACTGATTAATACGATAATGTATGTCGGCTTTAGAAGTCGGGCATGCGAATACAGGTTGGGGGCAACCGTGGCTCAGTGAGTAAGACTTTGGCTTACTAACCTGGAGGTCCCGTTTTCGGTTCGTGCGTTCATCGAGATTTTCCACCGTAGTCCACCCTTGCCAGTGGTTAGAACGGAGGGCCTGACACGGCACAACGTATAGTCGTTCGGACGGTACACGTAAAAGGGCCCTTGGCGGTCATATAAATGTCAATATAGTTTGAATATCAAGTAACTAAGCAATTTAATCGCTATTCATTTGTAATAGTATTTGGATATTTACGTTAGTACCGTATCTTGACGTATCTTGAGTCAGAATAATGATGAAACAAAATGTTACATGTTACATTTATGTGGCATATGTATAATCTCCGCGTTAATTTCCACATTATTAATCGCCTTGTAGCATTGGCGGATGTCATGCCCAAAGCAGTGTCCATATAATCTTGTTACCTGTGGCTAGTAGCATGACGTAGTCTAGAAAGTGTAAGCATCCCCATGCCTTTGATACGTCATGTATTACTATTAGAATGTAGTATGGATTCCAGAGGTAGCATAGTCAATTTGAGTTCCGACCATGAGCTTATGACTAGATTTTGTCTCGGCTCTGGTGACTTTTTTTTATCCCATAGATCGTTGCACTATATAGATAAAACGTCGGGTTTTGGTTTGATACTGGGAGTTTTGGATTGATACCACAGCCGAAGTAAGAGTGTCTGGTTTGATACCACAGCCGACCTGGGGGTTTTGGATTGATACTACAGGCGAAGTAAGAGTTTGGGTTTGATACTACATCCGAACTAAGCGTTTTATTTTGATACCACAGCCGAACTAATGGGTTTTGTTTTGATACCACAGCCGAACTAAGAGTTTTGACTTGATACCATAGCCGAACTAAGAGTTTTTGGTTTGATACTGAAAAAAGCTGTTTAGTTACCGTATGCATGTCAACATGTTACTTACATTTCAGTAATTTTATAAATTGGCAAAACGTTTGTCTGTTTTTACTGAAACCAATTGCTAGCTATTTTAGATTTTGAAGACTATAAAAATTAGCGAACTTGGCACTAATAATCGAATTCAATGTATGTGAGATCAAGTAAATTAATGTAATGGGTTGTATTTTGGTAAAGGTATTTAACCTACCAAGTTCATTAAACCTATGGACCCACCGATATATTTTGTTTCTTTGGTTGATAACAAAAAGTGATGATTCAAGGAATTCCAACGCGATGATTTAACGGGGGTACTGTAGTTCAATTTCCAGCTTGAAAAAACATTTGTGGTTTTTAAAAACCCGTTTCCTGACTAGTTGTTTTGATGGTACGAAGTACATGGAACATGCTTGCAAACGAACCCATTAACTGGTCTTCGAAGAAGAGTATTCAGAAACACCACTGATGGGCAAATAATATATTGTTTCGTTTAGATATTACTCCGATGTGGAAATATTAGTTCATTTACGCCCTCTCTGTTTGTATGGAGCGGAATTCACGACATAATTTTAACTAATACCCTTGTAATGCTTATGCTCACCTGCTGACTTAATTGGTGTATTGCGGGACTAACATGAATATTTATTGTTTCTATTGGCTTCAGGATAGGGGCCTTAGAAGTCACGTACATTTGTGAGATTAGAACCGTAACATTGGGATAAATAACAGATCCGAAGCGCGTATACCTCAATACAATTACAAGTTAATGGCAATATTAAAGAAATAGCTCATATTTAGTATTTCTACATGCGTCGAAATAGTCAATTTATTATATGCGTGCGTATTACTGGGTTAAGAGTTGGGATTGTGTCGAGAATTCCGCCCCATACGTTTAAGCTGTTGTTCTGTTGTATTAAAGATAACGATATCCTATGTTTATCTGTAGGCTGTTATTGCAATTGATATAACATTTAACCCACCTATAATGCATTATTTATACGAATATAAAAAAATAGTTCATATATCCTTTTTATTAAATAAGCAATTCATCCTGCTCATTCTTTGGGGTATTTAACAACACAGTTATTATATGTAGCTATTTTAGTTACCCGATGTTGCACGTATTTGTGTCTTCTACACTTTAGATTTAGCGTTTAGAATTTGCAACGAAAATAAAGAATTTTCCTGAAGAAATTGTGCCCTTTTTTAACACACAAAAAAAAATATGTTCAAGAATGTTTCTTTCGTTTAGGTTGTGCTTAAAATATTTGAGCAGGGTTCTGAATTATTAGCTCCTGGAAAGGTAACTCCCTGTTAAATGTGGAAGTCACCCTCGTCCGTTGTCTTTCCATAATGTCTTGTGAACGCTCTACAGTGAATTTGCTGGAATTCTTCAGAACTCCGTGGGACCGTTCATTGGGGTGCAAGTAAGAACTCAACGTTGCAAATATTTGGAATCATAAATTATAGCGGGGTTGACTTTCCTTTAACAGCTTGACTTTTCAAGTTTGTGAACGTGATACAGGGTGTGTTCTATGGACCGTGTTCATACTCAGTGGTATTTTTCATTTGGGCAATCGAAATTCAGAATTGTAAATTGGTTATATCTATGATGACATTTTAACTTTTAAATTCAGTGTATATAATACAGGACACACAGGGTTCATAATGGAATCTTTTTTTAAAAATGTGCTAAATGTGATTTATTGACCATGATTTAGAGCTAATCTGCATACCATCGCTGGTGGTCATATTAGGTCTGTGGGGTTTTTTCATGCTTTATAAACAATAATTATTACTAAATTGTGATTTAAAACAAGATAGAAGACAATCTAGACTGAAAATGTGAGCCTGTTTAGTGAAGTACCTTCAGTGCGCGTGATCATTCATCAAATACCTTGCTGAGATCATAATAAACTAGATTTCCGTATGTTTAATTTTGCCGGTTATTGTTTTAGGCATTTTTGTTATTTTTTGTTATTCTTGTCTCAATACCGGGAATTGTTATGTCATTATTAAAGTACATTATTAGAGTACTTGTCATGCACGGCATTTTCAACATAGATGATAAAGAATGAGCACCGATAAAGATTTAATAATTGCCTGTTCTTTGCAGTCTGTTATCTCAGCTACCCAAAAATAGATGAGATCTTTGCAATGCATTCTTTCTTATGTTTTCGTTTAGATTACAGCAAATTGCTGGCTCGGTTTTTTAATATTAAAGCTCTTCCTAACCGTTACCTGCACGTATGTAAGACATTTGACACTGCAGATTATATTTGTCTAGTATGAAAATGGTTCCCAAAAATCTGACTCTGGCGTCATCAGGGTAACTGCCATGCAATCACTGTTTATAAACAAAACCATGTACTTGTGCTCTCCTTAAAGATATGGCGTTGGGTTGATATACTAGTCGCTGGATCAATGAAATGAAATGGGGTTTAACGTCTAATTTTATGCACCAGCCGGCCCAATTTTAAGCGCATTCAATGTAGTGTAACGGCATTCTTACAAAGCTGTTAGAATTTTGGTCAATTTGAAATTCTGCATTCCAACTGGTTTTGCTTGATTCCTGTTCATTTCAAGTAAGTGTGACGTGACCTTATAACGAATCGTAGTCCAGGCTGAACAGGATTCAAACTAGATGAAGGATGAAATTTAAGATTCTTTTATCGACCTTCTCGATTTGACGAAAGTGTTTAGTCAGCAATTGAAATTGTAATTTCCGTTAATTTTATGACAAGCCTACCAACCGTTTGTTGAGATATAAACGTTTTAAGATTATATTTATTTATAATAACATTAACACTGTCAAAATTTAAGAGGGGTTATCACTTTTATTTGTAATATACATTCAACATAATTATATTTTATTATAGACATCACAAGCACTGGTCAAGTGGATATGAATAATTTGTGTTTCGCTTATACTAAGACCTGTTATGTCGTTTTCAGGGAGAATATGGATGTCTCGTGTAAGATGCAGTGGATTTGAGCATCAACTACGATACTGTATGTTCTTCGGATGGGGCCGTATACGACATCGCTGTCTCGGAGGTTGGCGTTCCGCTGGGGTAGTTTGTCTAAAGGGTGATGGCGGGCAGCTCAAAACAACTACGCGTAAACCAATAAAGCGAACAACACCGAAAGCTACAACCACTACTACCAGAACCACCACGACAAAAAAGCCCACTACCACGCGGAAACCACCAACGACCCCAAGAACGTTGTGGACCATCTTTGGGCCAACTCCATTTAAGCCAGTTAAGCCAGAGAAATCCCCCGAAGAGATGGCTTTAGATGATGCTGAGCACAACAAAAAAATGATGAGTTTATTAGGTGGAGAAAGAGATTATTCAGTACAAGCTGATGCTCCATCACCGAGTGTAAGTATTTTTTATCAAAAGCTTACTCTTCTTGTGGGAAATCTAGTCTTTACTTCCCTGCATGTGCATGGTGAGTGGACTTCATCACTGATTTTTCTGTTACATGATCCTTAGAGCCAGTCTATAAAGACTTGAAACAGCATTGGTAGCTTGTCATACCGGTCTTATAACTATATAAAGTACCACATCTTACGAACTGAACGCTCAATAATAATGAACAAATCCCAGTGTAGTCTTGCCATACCACTCACTGTATAATAGACTTTAACGAGATCAAGGTAGGCCCCGTGATAAAAGATCATTGAGTGTAAATGGCCAAGCACGTCATGTAGCATAATTCATAAGGATTGTCATAGTGGTCATCTGAAGCGAAGGAATGACAATCGGTGCTTTTTTCTGCTCTGCATTTCTATCCTTCTGTCAATATTATTCCTGTTTTTTCTAAAATCATTTCCAAAACAAGCAGAATGAGTAAAATTAATTAATAAATGTTGATGTTTTTGTTACAGGCTCTACAGTTACGTATACAAGGCGGGCGATATTTCTGGGAGGGTCGTCTGGAGGTAAACAAAGGAGATGGCGGAGGATGGGGTGCTATTTGTGGGGAGAAATGGACTATAAGAGAGGCTATGGTAGCATGCAGAGAACTCAATCTTGATCATGGAAAACAAGCCTTACAGGTCAGCATAAAAAATTGACTGTTATGTCAACCCATCAATTGGCATTAAATAAAATGTGGAGTTCCTCCAAAGTTTTCATTTATTTACTCTACAACACGTAGAACATCCTTAATATGCTAAAAGAACTTTTATCTCGAACACAGATTGGCTGTCATTGGTATTGTTAGAACATTGGATTTATCCATTTGTTTTAAGTTGAGATGTTCCTTATATCCGTGTGTTTACCAAATATGGTATTGTATATTGTTAGGTGAATTATTTTGGTGGTGAGAACTTAGATAAATATTACAATGAAATAAGATGCAGTGGTCGTGAGAAGAAATTGGAAGATTGTGAAAAGATAGAAACATCACATAATGTTGCTTGTTCTAAACCTATTTTAGTAGCTGGTATCGTCTGCTCAAAATGTAAGTTTATATTTAAAATATCTTCCTAACAGTATCATTAATGAGGGACTTTCTCAGCCAATACAGCGATCGAACTTTCTGGAAAGTGAGCCCCTTCGCACTGATCGACCCACCTGTGGCATCATTTTAAATGATACGTATATATACATAATCGATTGTATCAGACTCGCCCATTAATTGAATTAATCAATTAAAATAATTAATGTTGTTTTGGGGGATATTTAATCGAAAGTCTGTTTGGAAGAGGGCACACCATACACTCCCTTGGGCCAGTTTACACCATTTAATAGTTTTTACGCCCCATCCTGTCACTCCATCCACACCCCCTAATTGCTCAAAATCTTGTTTAAAAATCCTATATACTCCAGTGCGGTCTATTGTACAGTCAGGATTAAACCAGTTTGTAATTTAAAATGCGACTATGTCTGCAATCTTAATAAATATATTAGTTATGTCATTTGCACACAGTATGTTTTGACTGGATGTCAATATATGAAATAACCATATTCATCACAAAGTAGGCCAGTATTTAAGCGAGCAGCATTATTTTACGTTACTACAGTATGGTCTATTCACTTCACACTATAGGTTTCGCGAACAGTTTGACTTGTGTAAAAGAAAGGGTAAATGTAAGTTCGACCCTGGTGGGACTCGAACCCACAATCTTCGGCTCCGGAGGCCGACGCCTTATCCATTAGGCCACAGGGCCTACGCCCATTTTCTGTTTCACAAACTAGTTTTAACCGAGAGGGCTAAAAATAGACTCGTTATACAACGTAATAGCTTTTGTTGCCAAGTCTCTCGGTTATTATGGAACGCTATATAACATTTTTGCAATTGATCGATCGTATCCTTGCTGATAAAGAATAGCCTAGTTTTAGTCCGTTTGTTGTATATTGGCATACATTGTGTGTGAGTTAGTTGTATTTTACGCCCGCTTCCACCGAGGTGATATCGCATCAATTGAATGAACATTAAATTTTATCACACATTGCAAGAATCGCGTGTATGGTGGACAACCGACCGGGCTTTCAAAAAGTAAAGACTGAAGAAATAGCAGTCAAAAATGAAGATACACCTCTCCCCTCTCTTCCATCCCATCTTTAGTATAATCAGTAAATCTCAGGTAGTTCAGAAAATTATCTAGAATATTAGAACCTCAAATTTTATTTTTCAATTTGGAGCTTGCATGTTGCTTACTTTTACTCACTGACGATTGCTGTGTTTTTTATATATAAATGTAGAAATGGATTAGAAGGCCACAACTCTCTGGATTGATTCGTCTGGGAGATTATAGGTTTTTGTTTTAAACGCACAAAATCTTAAATAACTAAAAATAATTCGTATAACTAGATGAAAACATTTTCTCATGCATGCTTTTAAAATCCCCAAAGTTCAGCAGAAATGGTTAGCTACATGAACCTTTAAGTCGTAGAGGTTATTGGTTTTTTAAATAAGAAAATGAAATCAACCATGAAATAAAAGATTAATAAAAATCGGTCAAAATTTACGAATCTGTTCAAGCGATCAAGATATCGTGGTTTTGAAAAGAATATGTCACGACTGTGTAAAGAAATGTTCTTTTGCATGACAATTTAAAGCTAGGTTTACGCTGTCTGGTTTTTTGTCCGTACGTGGATACGGCAACCTTTAGTGAAGAGTTGGATCAGATTTGTAGAATAAAACATGACATAGGTATTAAATAACGACCATTAAAGGGATATGATATTAACACTCATTTATATGATTGGGTTTTCATTTTATAGATATACAATATTTATATCATTATAAATGACGGGGAGAATAATAGTTTCCTGACAAATATAAACAAAGAGATCAATAATAACAAAAAGGACAGCATGTCTAACATGCTTTTTAAACATGCCATTGATACAACCAAAACCCAGTCAAATGTTATGATGCAAAATAGTTTTAGCAGTAGCCTAACGCATCACGATTTAGTAAAATAATATGTAAAACATCATAAAATTGCATTTTTATACGCCCACCTTTCAGAGTGGGTATTATACCGTCACCCTGCCCGCCAGTCAACAATTGACTTGTGAACGCGAAAAGGCTACAGTTTATGAATTATTCTTTTGAAGCATTAGAGTCATGAAAGAACGAACCCTATCAATATTTTGAATGCGACAGAGGCTACAGTTTTTGACCGATTTCTTTCAAATTTGGTTGATGTGAAGCATTGTGGTCATGAGAGGACAAATCCGATCGAAATTCAAATGTTCCGTGGCCTTTCTTTCGGAGTTATATCCCCTTCGCCGAATACACGATAGAGGCTGTAATTTTTACTGTGATGTTTTTCAAATTTCGCGGAAAGCATTGGGGTCATGTGTAAATGGACCTTATCGATTTTAAGTATTCCGCGACCTTTCGTTCCGTAGTTATCCCCCTTTGCCGAAAATCTCGTGAACGCGATAGCGGCTATGACACCTAACGTATTTTTGTAAAATTCGGATGAAATCATTGGGGTCATGAGAGGATGAACCCTATCGTTATTCAACGTTCTGCGACTTTTCGGTGTTAAATAGAGAATCTCCTACTCGTATCAACTCATCACTCGTCGATAAAGTATAAAAAAACGACACAAGGCGATAAAGTTATAAAAAAAACAAGGCTTTGCACTTTTTATTTTTTTATTTATTTGTTTTGTTTTGTTTTTTTGTTGTTTTTTTTTTTGACAGCAAGTCACACGTCGCAAAAATTGACCCGGTGTTTCCTTTAAAGTTATTGTAATTGTTTATGGTAATTGGGAGCTTATCTCCAACAATATTACTGGATCCACAAAGTAGTTCCTTTTTTTAAAAAAAAAAGTAGTTCCTTTTTAATAAAAAAGGTAGTTCCTTTTTAATTGATCAATCAAATTCATGTAAAACGATATAGTATTGACCCGGTGTTTCCTTTAAAGTTATTGTAATTGTTTATGGTAATTGGGAGCTTATCTCCAACAATATTACTGGATCCACAAAGTAGTTCCTTTTTTTAAAAAAAAAGCAGTTCCTTTTTTTTTAAAAAAAAGTAGTTCCTTTTTAATAAAAAAGGTAGTTCCTTTTTAATTGATCAATCAAATTCATGTAAAACGATATAATAGATTATGAAAGTTATCACACAAGCGATATCTACTACTGCAGAATGTGTTGTTTGGTGATAAAGTACATTTGTATGATCTTTCTATTTGCAGTCTTGCCTGATTTAATTCCAAATCTTGAAGTGCTACAGTCATCCGTTTTACTTCAAGATCGACCACTATATTATTTACAATGTGCCTTAGAAGAGAATTGTCTATCAAGCTCAGCAGCTGTAGTTAGAAATACCAGTAAAAGTATGTGTAGAAAAATTGTGATTTTTTTTTTTTTTTTAAATGATAAAACTGTCTATATTTGGGTTTAATTAATTATTCATTCGACAGAGCATGGACATTCCCTTTAGAACACCCGATACTCGCGAAGCCACAGTCTTTAAAATATATAACTACAATGAATATGCTTTGGCTATGTTCTCTGTGATAAGTCCAATTGTATAGAATATTTATTGTCCTTTTATAAACGTTTATCACTGTTTGTTCTATGTTTGGACGGGTAGTTTGATCATTTCCAATTGATTTCGAGTAACCTTACTATTTTTCAGATTGGATGTCATCATCACGTCGTCTTCTCAAATTTTCAACAGTAGTACATAATCGTGGATTAGCTGATTTCAGACCGTATAGAGCTAAAGGTCAATGGCAATGGCACCAATGTCACATGTACGTATATAATATATACAATAATTTTCTGTAGTTCAAAATTCCAGAAAAAAATGGAGATATTTGGATTTAAAGTAAGAGTTTGAAATTTACCGGAACTAATGAACTTATATATGGCGTAGACTGTCTAAACACCAATCAAGAAACGAGCATAACAAAACAATTGGTCAAATTTGATGGAGAGTTTCTATTTAAGAAAAGAACAAAAACAATATAATATAACGACAGTGTAAATTTATTTCTAAAAATCATTTTGGTTACGTTTAAAATCAACAGACCGGTTTGAAATTTTAAGCAATAAATTCGTGGTGAGTGCACGCTATAACATTATTTCAACAAAATAATCATCTTTGATTTATTATCCTTTTATACTTTTACTTTCTACGTGAGAACAATTACATCGCTAGAAATCCAGATGCCATTTTCTAGTACTATCGGTGAAAAATAATTCTATCTGTCCCTTAGTACTAGTAAGTGGACATCGAAACCACGATCGAAAAGATAATTAATTTTCTGCTGGATTAAAAATTGTAGTTGTTTTACTTTCACAATAATATTAGGTTTGTGAATTCCTCAAACAAGCATATCGAGTGTTCTTTTAAAAGGAAATGATGCTCCAATTGGATTACGAAATCAGGAATCTTTGTTTCACAGTCCCCCGTCTTAAACCCCATTAACGATTGGGGCTTTTGTGGAGATGTTAATCTAGCATGCGTGTGAAACGACCTTCGTATTAAAACAGTTTACATAATAAATAAAACAAAGTTAAAAGAATAGCTCTCAACATTCATGAATAGGCTTTATTAGCGTGTGGGATTATTGCAACATCAGAATAAAAAATAAAGTTAGGATGTAGATAAACATTCTCAAAATGTAACACGTGTAACTTCTAAAACATATTGTGATACAAAACTTAATGTGTCTAAATATACTTAACTTCAAAGACTATAGTCAACTTAAAACGTGAACCGATTAGTTAAGTTTTGTTCGGGATTGTAAACGTTTGGTAAAACATGAATATAGCTTGTATTTTGGCAGGATTCTAGTTCAGTCAAAGAGCTTTTTAAAACGACATTTGCGTCATACCTAGTTTTATTTAAATTCCGCTCTTGCTCAGATTTCAGGAAATATCTAAGTTTGTTTGAATTCCACTGTTTGGTGTTTTTAGATACAGTGTCAAAACAGCCATCATTGTGTTTATTTAAGCATGGAATCAAAAAGAACAGTTTTTTGAATTTAGTGATGTAGGTGTATTTTATGATATTCAGCTGTTGGCAAGACTCAGTGGTAAAGTTTTATACCGATAAAAATAAATAAAAACTATGAATAGATTGTCACAGGCCTTACTTAATAAAAAGAAGTATGAGGGGTTGCTGGAAAGTTCTAAGCCTATCTGTCAAAGACCTTTACAAAGTTGATGGTTTCCATTTATTTTTCTACACAGTCCCCTTCGAGGTGTACACACTTTTGCCAACGATGTTGCGCTGACTGGATGCCGATCAGGAACAAATTTTCTTCAACTGACGTCATCATTACTAGTTCCTTTTTTTCATTTTTGGAAACAGGTCTCATCCACGGTTACAAATCTGGCCAAACAATTCGCAGGATCTGCTTCAAAACGGCACAGATTGTCACGGGATGTCAGGAATCGGACACGTTTCTGATCTTTGGCACCCACTTTGTAGAAACTTTTGTCATTCCTAGCTCGTTTTCGATAATGTGCTCAACCCTCACATGAGAGATGTCAACAACATTGGCAATATGTCAATTGTCGATCAGTCATCACCTGTATTGCACCCCGGTAATCTTGAATGGTTGCTGTTGAAGATCTTCCAGGACGCGGGTCATCATCAAGTCTCTCTCTCTCTCTTTCTCTCTCTCTCTCGCTCTCTCTGCCACGCTTAAATTCCGCAGTCCACTTCTTTACTGTGAAAAGGAAAGGGGCACCATCCCCTTAAGTGGAGATCATGTCGGCATATATCTGTGTTGGGGTTAATCCTTTTTAGTTACAAGTACTTGGTGACTGTCCTTTAGCCAGTTTTTCCATTTCTGGTGATTTCAATGCGTGGGTTCACAAGATGGTCTGGTACGAAGACATTAATAACACTACAGTTGCAGTTCTTATCTCTATGATTTATTCAATGATTGTACTTGTTGGTGGCAAAAGTCAGTTGATCTATCCTTTTCAGACTTAGAACTTATCAGCCAGCCCTCGTACATCCGCTTGGCGACATCTTGCCGAGAAGGTGCACTTTTTGTATCGTACGGAAGAAAATGCTTCCATTTTTGCCCTTTCTTTCCTTCATCTATCTATACATATATAGAGAAGAGAAAATTGTTTGTGTGTGTCGTGGCTATTGGAAACCTAGCGGTTGAACTTACAAATTATCAAAAACACTTCTTTGTTTTTTGGTGTAGTAGTTAATGATGAAATTCACAATTAATGATTATATTGTATTTGTTAGAAACATTCTAGAACATGACCTTCGGGAAACCTCTTTCTTCATTTTCTTGAAATCTCATAATCAAATCTATAAAAGAATCTGACCCGTGCGACCTGGGTAGAATTAGTTAGTATAGCATTATTGATCTAAACATAGTAAACGCAAAATACCATATGTTTGATCTCAAAACACTTAACATACGTAAACATCGTGTAATAATAAAGTTTAATATCGTAATGTAGCATATAATGTCTGGTGTTTCGTCTCGCACCGTCAGGTTGTTACCAAAAACAAAATAAAAATCAAACTACCAATCAACCCAACCAGGTACACCATTTCACTGACATTGGTTTACTTCTTGTAATAAAAAAACATCTAATTATTTAAGGGCACATAAGATAAATTCTATTAATATTATTAAAGGGTGGGTCTAGATTTCACAGGGCACCCATTGATAAAAGCTTGTGCAAGTACACGACGTGTGAATAAATAACCCAAATAGCTTGTATAATTCAGCTCAAAATATTGAGATCATCGGAAATGATCGGTAGATTTGTCTAACGGGGTTGCGTTGCTATAGATCGACTCCTAGCATGTTCTAAATTTATCAGCACCGGGGTAAGAACTGTTCCTAACGATATCTCAATATAGGATCTTTATACCTCTATAGGATCTTGTTTCTCGTTCAAAATCAGGCTGAAGGTGTTTATCTCTCCTGAAAAGTACCACATATCTTCAAATATGACTAAGGTTTCTAAGCATTTTCCAGGAAGAATTAACCCATATAAATATATATCTAGGACAGCTTCTTGTGAATGATAAAACCTGTAATAATACTATAAATGTACACTTGCTTTCAAAGGTTGACAGATAACCAGAATGTAGTTTAGGCGTACACATTCTTATAAAAACAAACAGCAGGCACTTCCGCAGCAAATTAAGAATATTTTGTTACAACCAATCGTTCTTCATAATGGCTCATAATGCACTCAAAAGATTGTTTTAAATTAACCTAAACGCACTTAAAGATAAACCGAATAAGCATACACCTATAATGTATGTCCACCCATTTTGTCGAAAATAGCAATTCACATCTGGCTTTGAAGATCGATTAGTTGGTATTTCGTACGCCTATGGGTAATGTAATAAAAATGTTAAGATAAATACACGAAATTTCTACATTTTCTGATTAATTTTGAAAAGGATATACTAAGCAGCAAAAGAAACGTCAGGTTGGTATGTTACGCTGAATAGACGCATTGGATAAAACTTGCCAAATGTTTTTATTGTATATTTGTGACCACATCGCCAACTTTACCTGAGTAATAAGGATCCTTCCCAAACACAGATTTGAGCTCAGAAAATGTTCTCTAAAACGCAACCTGACATCTGAGATGATAATGTGTTCTCCGTGATTTTCACGTGCTGTTTGCCGGGACCAGCCCTATAAAATGCACACCCATTCCTGGTTAAATCATTCACACTACAACGTCGGCACCATGCCACGATTCACGACAGCTCAGAGGAACCAGGCGATTGGAAGACTCGACGCTGGCCACACTGCCCAAGCCGTTGTCAATGACTTCCAGATCAATGTTCGGATCATCTATAGGCTTCAGCAGCGCTTCAGGGCCACCAACTCCACGGATGATCGCCCCCCGATCTGGTAGACTAAGGGTTACCACAAGGCGACAAGACCGCATCTAAGACAGCATGTCAGTCAGTGGGAACCCACAGAAGACCCATCAGTACCGATACAGTGCGCCGACGGCTCACCAGAGAGAACATCCATTGTCGTAGACCTTACCCTGGACCGATCCTCACCCCTCGCCGTCTACAGTTTGCCAAACAACACCAGAACTGGCGACACAGGCAATGGAGGCCTGTTCTGTTCACAGATGAGTCGGTATTGCGTATCAACTGCAGATGGCAGGACCAGAATATGGCGTCGACGTGGCCAGCGAAATTCTGCCCAATGTGTCATGGAACCAGAGAGTGGGTCCTGTGGTGTTCCAAAATCTTGGTCCAGGGAGAGGAGGCGGCATCACAACAGTACGCTACATCGATCCAGCTCTCAGAAACCACTTCATGCCACATTACGCACGTCATCGAAACAACGTTTTCCGGCATGACAACGCCCGTGCCCACACCTCCAGAGTTACTCGGGACTTTCTATAGCAGAACGATGTCAACGTCCGGACTAGACATTGTGTCTGTTCGTTGATTATAGTCGTTACGCTTTGCAAGGGACCCTTTTAATGAAACGTATGCTTATAGTTATGTTCTCGTAATGTCAACATGGCTGTATAGCAAAAACTATTCGCAACTCTTATTTGTTCATTGTGAAACGGGATTAAACACGGACTTTTTCAAGTTACTGTTAGATCTTACTGTCGTTAAACATAAGAAATAAACGAAATCATATTCTACTTTTAATAATTCAAAATCACAACCCTTTCAATATACACAACCCAAACTCGTAGCTAAAATTATGTGACTTTCGTTGTGCCCCCTAGTAATACAATAAAATGATCATATTATGGTAGTTGTTGACCCTACGCATCTAAATTTTGTTCGGGCAATACTTGAATTCCACGTAAAACTCTAACCTTTTTGCTGGCGTCTGGGAATTGCAATAGAAAGTTATAAAGTGTATTTATCACACAATGTGACAGGTGTATAGAATGTTTTTGTGTAATTTATTGTAGGCATTATCACAGTATGGAAGTATTTGCTCATTATGATATAATTGATGAACATGGTAATAGATTAGCAGAAGGTAGTAAAGCCAGTTTTTGTTTAGAAGATTCTACCTGTGACCCTGGTGTAGAACCTCAGTATGATTGTACGGGTTATGGTGACCAAGGTAAAGCTATTATAACACCATTGGAATTTAACCAGGTTTTCTGACTGTTCTACCGGTAGGCCTACTTATCCACATCAGTACTCTGGGCCATATTAAGTAGATGGAACTGAAATCCTTAATTTAATAGAAATGAAATGAAATGGGGTTTAACGTCCCACTGTTCTGCTCTGTCTAGGCTAATGAAGACAGGCATACGCCATACAGTGTGACATGAGGGAAATTTTGCCTAGGCCTACTCTTATATCAATTTCCAACTGCCAAGGGATCTTTTACGTGCGCGCCAATGTGTATACGGGACCTCGGATTTTCGTTCCATCCTCCGTCCTGCACCACTGACAAGAGGAAACCACGCCGGAAAATTCTCGATGGACTTCCTCGGCCAACACCGGGAGCGCACCCACTACCTCTAGGCTAGCTAGCCAGCGTATTACTCATTTAGCCAGCGTGGCCCCCATTTTAATGTAATATATGCTATTTCATGTAGATTAACTGAGTATAAATACTAACTTAAGCTCCTTATTATGGGAGCCACGGTGGATCAGCAAGTATGGCGCGACTTACTAACCAGGGGCCCCGGTTTCGATTCCGGTGTTGGCCAAGAAAGTTCATCAGATTTACCAGCCTGGTTTCCCCCTTGTCAGTTGTACAATGCGGGGGACCTTGCAAGAAAAGGCGCCTAGTCTTCCGGGTGGGATAAAAAAAACCAAGGGTGATCCATCTAATCGTTAGCGTGAACATGAAAGAACCCTTTGTAAGACTGTCCGAGCAATATTTTCCTCATAGCACACTGCATGGCGTATGTCCATTTTCATCAGTCCGTTTGGTGCAGAAAACCGATCAACTCCATTTTATTTCTTTTCCCGTTCGTACAAGTAAAGTAGGACGTTGAATTTTTTTGATGTATTAATTTTGATGTGTATTTAATTCTAGGTTTATCTGTCAATTGTTCCGATAATTATATGAATGATATAGACTGTCAATGGATTGATATAACAGATATACCTATTGGAAAGTATATATTTAAGGTAAGAATATTGTATTTTAGTGAAAGATTTCAGTCGATAAATGAGTTATGATTCAATATATCTCTATCCAAGCGACAAGCTTTATTTCGTCTTAATTCAAAGGTGTTTAACTCCTTTAAGAAAATTATTACCGATATGTGGCTTGTTAAAAAGCGTCTGGGTTGTTAATTAGTTAAAGTTTTCGTAAATCATCACGAGGTTTGCCTTAATGTCGATTGTTTTTACCCAACACCGATTGCACAAAAGCTGTTCATCAAGAGTGACACCACTCAGCTACATGTACAATAGCATGTACACAACAAGGTCAATGCCTTTCTTAGCTATCACTTTATTTTACAAATGGCGCTTATAAATCATTCATAATGAGAAAGAAATTGTTTATTTTGTAAATAAGACACCAAGATGGCATACGATAAGTATTATGTATTGGGATAAACAACAACAGACATGTTTATCCATTCTTTGTTGCTAATTTCTTATTAATAATACCTGTTCATTCAGATGTTTGTGTTAATACCAAGTCGAGGTACAAAAATAGGTCCCAAAGAAATTCGGTGGCTCATAAAATGCCCATTCTTACGCAGCTAAAAGTAAGACTGCAGAGATTTCAGAATCTTTAGATAAGATACGAAAATAGACCGCTTGTCATGATCATCTCAGATTGTAGCACAGGTGCCAACAGATAGATACAATAATAGCAATAGATTACGTCACAAACCACCATTACGCATATTTTGAAATGTTTCGTCTTTGAAAGAAATTTGATTAGGTGTGTTTTATGGTCTGGAAGTATTTGTAAAAAAAAATAATAATGTTTACATAAGTTGATAAGTTAGTAACATATTCTGCGCCAGAACATGATATACATCCACTATGCATAGATAGTTTTAAAAACTTAGGGAGAAACAACAACTTAATCTCTTGTTTTGTCTGTGACTTAAGTATCGAAGTGATTGCCCAAAAATACCTTAACGGCTGTTCCTATATATCACATAACCAGCTCTTTATTTAGTTCACAATTTTTATTATTGTTATGATATGGAAATTGAAGTACATTTTAACATGAAAACCTGTATCTTAATCTGCAATTCTCTTGCTAAATATGTAATTAAATCAAACCGTTCATTGTTATAATGAATTGGACATGTATCCGTATTCATGTATTGTTTTTAATTTCTTCAATCGGTTTGTGTCAATTGTTTTCTTTGGTAATCTTATAAATATATTGACAAGGCAAGGAGAAGGGTCGCCTGTCCAGCTCTTAAGTTAAAGAGGCGTTAATCAAGGGCTAAATCTGCCTATTGTAGGTCTTTCTGTGGGCCTTAAAGGGGCTAAATCGCTAGTATTTGGGACCTAGAAATTGACACAAATGCGTCGCAACGCAAATAATGTAATATGAATGTATATAAACTGTTTTACATTCAATCGTTTCCGTCTACACCGATAGTATTTATTGCGCATGCTCTCCAGATAAGAATATGAGTCACCGTTTGACATGACTTGTGGAATACGTCTAGCCTTGTTCTTCAAGTCCCTTGTTACAAATGGGAGCCACGGTGGCTAAGTGGGTAAGCAGAATAGTAGGACGTTATACCCCATTTTATTTCATTTTGTTACAAATTGGGCTGAAACATGATTCGTGTACCAATGATAAAATGTTTATTTTGTCTTAAATATTGGATATCAGAAGCTCATCTTTTCCCAGTAAGATCACAACATCAATGTTGATTTAAATTGACAAACAATTCGTGTTTTTAACGTCGAAGACTTTGGATGATTATGAGTTAGAGACTTAACTACTTTAGATGTTATAAATTATTAATTAGACATTTATTAACATGACAAGACCATTTTAAGTAGATTAGAAATGGTTCGGCCATTTAATGATTTAATTCAAAAATGGAGGAGCGAGGCTAAGCCTCGAATAACCAGAGTCTTGGTTACGATAAAAACAATCACTGCACACATCTTGTCAAAACTACAAACACTGATAACTTCGCTCTGAATAAAGTAATTTGAATGAAATTTTCAATATATTCATTTTTAATCTTTCCATCTCAAATCGAAAGAAAGTGGCGATTGCGCATGTAACTAGCCTCCACAGTAACGCGAGAATCGTCATTAAGCCAACACGACGAAAGCGGCGACTTTCTCGTCGCACTGGCTTACAGGCGACCCGCCACTTTCAAAACAAGGGAGTCGCCGTAAAGCCAGCACGACAAAAAAAATCACCGAAAAAGTTCTGGATTTTCGATTAACAAAGTGTACAAGCTGTGTACACAATCGAGACACGTGTGTTTTATAATTGACAGATCGGAATACTGAAAAGCCCTTAAGTTTCTGTTACTTTTTTAATTTCAGATGGAAATAAATCCTACCATATTGGTGGCGGAGTTGGACTATGATAATAACGTGGCTATATGTGAAATATGGTACTCCGGTTATAATGCCAAAATGTACGACTGTAGATATGAGAGTTTGTTGTGATCACGGGCAAATCCATATTGATATATATATATACTTATTGTTCAAATATACTTAAATGTATGATTATCTTATGTTAATGAACAATTAAACTCCGTTAATCTATTTTGGTGTATTTGAAAAAGTAAGGTCAGAAAAGCTAGCTTTAAAGGGTGCAGTCCAAGATTTCACAGGACACAGTGAATAAATGTTAGTGTTAGTATGTAAAGCAAACGTCAAAAAGTTCCCAAAAAATTCAAATCATAATATTGAACTGTTCGAAAATGATCGCGAGAATTGTTAACGTGGTTACGCGCCGTATTTAAGTAATTCCATTCTTCGCGTCGATTACTAACTCGATAAATCACTATGGTCAGTTATTATTCTAACTGCGTTAAATCTATAGACATGATTATCCAGGCATTTACCCGAAGTGGAATTTGGAGACTTCTGGTTAATCCCACTTGAAAACTTAAAGTTTGTATTCTTTATGCGAAAGATTATTACAGAGTAGAGTATCTGGGACTGCTCCTTTAAAGGGCCATAATGACAAAACTGTGTAATGATGGAGTTTTGTAGATCTGTCAATATTAATATGATTACCCAGACCACCGTCATGTTGTTCGGAGAAATATTCGTGTGTGTGTGACAAAAAATAATAGTGTCAATGAAAAAAATATTAAAACAAAAAGAGGTAAGACCCGAAGAACTTCGCTCTTGTATTATAAATTGCGGGCTCTCTGTATGCAGTAATTAAACGGCTATGAGACAAGATTGTGCGAAGAGGTATCTTGAATGGGTTCAATATAAGCAGCAAAATGTTAGAAATTGGGTATAATCAATGTCTATTATCTCCCTTTAAATATTGTAGATGAAACATAAACTACAGACTTTCGGAGTTTAATTGGTCATGATAAGTGTTATATAATATTAAAGTTGTTATGATAGGCCAGATGATGTGCATGTTGTATTTGTAAACCTCTATTGTTGTTCAAGTTTCTACACTGCCAAAGTATTTTATTAATCACCTATAAATTGAATGAATGTGTGTTACCTTTAATTATTACATTGGATTAATTTTGATAATCCCCGTATTTATTATCTCCGCTTCGGATGCAACGGATATTGGTGTGGACTTAAAAGCATGTTTTTGGAATTTATGGCAACAGCTCTTCAGTCTGTTCGAATATACAAAGATTTAAGGGAAATGTTGTTTCAATCCACCGTTAACAATGTAGTTTCTAGTACTTCGTGGCGAGAACCATTTTCCACTCATCAAAGTCGACGCTTTAATGTCCAGACTAGTTTTCGTTGCGGTCTAAACGGAAACAATTAAGACTGCCATGATCGAGATTATAATGGTGGATACCAGGTTAAAATTATACACGCTTGTTTATATTGGTCTACACCATTTTTACTGATATGTTATGATTTTGAAATCAGTAAACTAAAATGGACGATTATTTAAAGCAGAACCATGGATAAAATTGTTATGACTACATGTAACTGAAGTCCCTTTTTCCAAAACTCTACATACGCATTCAGATTAAGTAATATATACCAATATTTTATTGATAATCCATTAAATAATAGCTGTTTAATTTATCTGAGATAGCGTCAAGCTTTAGGGCATACAAATATGACTTGGAATATGCATTTTGGGAAAGATATCTTCAATCTGTTCCTTCGTGAAAGCTCCCAGTTAAAGGATTCTTGCAGAACTGCCTCTTGTGATCTATTACAATTGGACGAATTCCTACAGTGTTAATGGTTGTCCGTTGAATATGTTTATGGTTTCGTTTCATTTGTGTAACATAAAAATTGATTCACCTCTCTTTCCGACCTCGTGTGGAGATTGTCTAGTAAGAAAACATACAAAATTATACATAAGGGAGTATACAATTCTAATTATTGATTTCGCACATATGTACCGTACTAATTGTAGTCGTGAACGATGCATGCAGTGCTTACTGTGTCTGGTGTCACTTCTCATTTATTAAAGACGCATTATGCAGGTCTTAAGTCTGCCTGTTGCAGATATTTTTCTGGCTTAAAATCTTATATAAATTATCATTTAGACATTTATTATATAACAAGACATAATCAACACCTGCGATAAAATGGATAATCGAGATTAAGTCTCAATTGTCAAGTACCGTTGCTACGATAAGAAACCGATACACGCTACATCGTCAAACAGCCATAACTTCGCCCAGAATAAAGTAAATTTAAAAGAATATATTCATTTTTCATTATCTATTTTTGAACTATTGTAGCAAGAACGACCAGCTCTTTATCTAAATTTTACATAATGCATCTTTAAGGAATCTCACATAACTAAAACTATTTGTTGTACTCTTTAAACCATAGTATAACAGATTACTGATTGTGTGTTATACATACTGTAAATATCCAGTTGTGTGTTCATGTTGTAATAAATATAACTCGTATCTGAATATACAAAATATTATTATTATATTTTGACTATAAAGGAAAAATATATTGCAAATTGTATTGGTAATTGTACGGCTTTTCATTATTATGTATGTATTGGATAGAGCGGGGTATAATGCTTTATTTGTTATATTTCTATTTTGTCAAATCAGATGTTATTTCGATTCGTTTTTCGTTTTATTGTCTGTACTTTATATTCTACGATACTTCAATATAAACAAAAACCAAAACCATAAAAACGAAACGAAATAAGGATCCAATATTAATTAATTGTTATATTTGTGTATGTATATAACTTTTAGTAATAAATTATATCTAAAACCCTTTTAAAATATTCACTGTCTTCGAATGAGAAGGTGGGATTGATCCGCATAATATGTTTTTTAATCTTCAAAATGGTTTCTGCAATCCGGGCGAAAAGTGCTTTAATCATATTATGTAAACTCTGACCACGTTGAGTCACTACAGGAATTAATCTTGTACATTATGTTTCTCTTAAATTATTGAAATTGTTTAAAACAAATAAGGTGGTTTCCTACCAATGTACTGACTGGCGCGTGTTTGTGAAACATATTACGTTCTCAGCGTGATATGACCGTCGACATTAAAAGTTTTTTTTTTTTATATAGTATGCTTATCATTTTATTGGGAAAACTAACATTAAAACAGTTTATCATCCAGTTACTGGTCGGGTCTAGCGTTTCCTTTTGTTGCAGTAATTGGACTAGAGGTGGTGCCCGGATCGTGGTGTAGTCGCGGTGGATCAGTGAGTAAGACGTTCGTTCGCTAATCGTGTTCAATCACGGTGTTGGCCGAGAGAGTTCATCGGGATTTTCCGGCGTGGTGAGACTTTGCAATTCGTGCATGATAGAGGGAGGACGGGGGACAACGTATAGTCGAAAAGCCGAGGCCCCGTGTACACATTGGAGTTCACCTAAAAGAACCCGTGGCAATTGGAATTCGAAAAAAGACCAAGAGTAGGCCGTGATTCTTCTTTGTTCGCCAAAAGGAGTCATTTCTTGCCACATACAACACAAATTTATAATAATCCAACGCTACTTTCATGTAGAATTGTACGATACAAAAACACAAACAACATTCATTTGAATCGATCAGTCATTATCAAACTCACGCCTGCGCAGACCGGTTCATAGATGCGCTCAGCCAATATTCGAAATTTAGGAATGGAATTTTACCGTTAACCGTGCTGTACATCAATTAACGGATTAAATTTGCTATTTGATACACTAAAGTTTTTTTATTCAACATACATGAGCAATTATTATATAAAATCTATGAATAGAGCAACACATTATATTGACCTTTATAAAATATTTAAAATATTCTAAGAATAAATAAATACTTTAAATTAAAATAGTACAAGATAATTAAATATATCATGAACAATTATAACATAAAATCTATCAAATAGAATAACACATCATATTGACCTGCTGGGAAGGGTACATGTTGAAAATTTTACTAGAATTACTTCATGCACATTTTGAAATGAAATGAAATGGGGTTTAACGTCCTACTGTTCTGCGCCTAAACTGGGCTAATGAAGACGGGCATACGCCATACAGTGTGCTATGAGGGAAATTTTGCCAGGGCAGCGGCGCTACGGCCTACTCTTATATCGAATTCCAACTGCCAAGGGATCTTTTACGTGCACGCCAATATGTACACGGGACCTCGGTTTTTCGTCCCATCCGAACGACTAGACAGCTGTCCTTGTCAGGCCCTCCGTCCTGCATCACTGACAAGGGGAAACCACGCCGGAAAATCTGGATGAACTTTCTCGGCCAATGCAGGGATCGAACACCCGACCTCCAGGCTAGCGAGCCAGCGTCTTACCCACTTAGCCACGTGATCCCCTGCACATTTTGAAACTAACACTGTAAGTTTTGTTGATAAGATATGACAACAACAATTCTGTAAATAATTATCAACAAAATAATATTATGGATGATTAACAAATTAAATTAATGTCAAACCATTGTATAGGGACCCGAGTACCGCGGATACCAGTCAAGACGAATGGAGGCAACCGACATAAGAATGGGGAACTCAAAGTTATCTGGTAACTATATTAATAACGTCCCTTTATGATGTTAGAAAAGCCAACCTCGCATAATAAGTTGACTCAGTCATCATGATAAATACTATGGTTACTCATAGCCATGTTTGCAGTTCTATAATATATTTCTTATTCCAAGTTTCGTTCATTGCAGATCGAATTACCGATAGATCTGATAAGACTCGTTTATCATATAATTAGATAACACGAACTCATCAAGATAACCTTTTGGTATTTAGGTATTAAATGGGATGTCATTATTTAATTAGAATGCATATGATAGGTACAATTTCAACGGGGTTTCATTATATTCGATTGTAATTTTGGATAATCTAATAGCAATAGAAACGAAGACAAAATTGCAAAAAAATTTAATTACATAAAATTCAATAAAAATAATGCTTACTTTAAAGGGACATTGAAAGCGCTTTGGCTGTAACTTTTCGGATTGTATAATATATGTGATAGGCTTACTAAACCGTCATAATAAGTATTACTCTTAATTAAACTTTCCCTCTTCTAGTTCTCAGATTTTATTCTCCGCTCCTAAGAATACCTGGGAGTTGTAGTGGTCTAGCGTGATGTAATTCGTGATACACCCTGTTTAATACGGAACAGCATTAATTAATGACGCGGCAAAATCTACGTCTCCAAAATATACATTGAAAAAAAAATTTGACAAAGAGCGCGGGAGAAAAAGAGACCCTAGTCCCGTGAACACAATGGCGTGTACGTAAAACAACCCTTGACATTTTGAATTCGATTAAGAGTATGCTGAACACTCGCTGCCCATCGGCTAACCTAATGCTAGGCGAACCCTACGTTGCTAACTTTATAGATCACATAAGAACTAGTGCTCTAAACGTGATATCACCCTAGACATTAAATGTTGTACAGTAGTTTTAATCTTTTACATCATGCTTCCGTTAAAAATCAAAAGCAGCAGGTGTACCTAATCCGTCACGTATTCACCCATCTACTGTCTGGAGACGACGTTTCTTTAAGAATGACAATGCTAAAAGAAAACTGATTTACAACTATCTTATCTTGGATCCAGCAACATCCATAACACGGCCCCAGCAATTACTTGATAACTGATATTTACTATTAATAATATTAAATTTCCTCTATATTAATTTGTGTATTACTAAATGTCAGACTAATATGATTTAGGAATCAATTTACCGATATTGTTCCGCATAATCTACTCTTTGTTTCCACTTCATTCAAACCACTTAAAGATAATCTTCCTTATGTTATCTTGGAACAGACCCATTGAAACCACCTTTAGATTGGCAAGAAGACCGGCAAATAGTGGTAAGGTCTCTTTTATTAAAAAAAGGTAAGTCCTTTTTTTGTTTTGAATTCCTAATATAATCATATGCAATCACAGGCCATTTTTATTGATGATGAGACATTTGAAGTAAACGTAAGAAAATTGTAATGATTTGCTCAGCATGCGTCTTGAGTCGGCGGCGGCTGCCGAATTTTAATTTAAAAAGAAGAAAGGAAATCAGTCTTTTAGGAACGGGAACCCACAACAAGACACCACTCCTCTCGCCCATGATCCCAAACCGAAAGAGCAAGTTGACTAGGGTGTAATTTGGGGTATATTTAGAATAAGATAAAATTATTAAAGCACACATTTCAAGATAAAACAAACGTGCCAAAAATTAATCAAACTGCACATTCTACAGTACTTTCTATGGAATCAAAAATGTCCGTCGTATCAAATGGGCTGGATCGGGTTTAAAACTACACAAACTTATCAAAAGCAAATATGTACCTCTTCTTTTAAAATTAAGGAGTAATCTATCTAGCCAAACCATGTGTTAAATCCAGGGTTTATTCGTGAAGGGCCGCCTGTTTAAACCCGTTTCTTCCCACTTCTAAATATACGTACCAGTAGATGAGATCACTAATTGGGGTTGATTTTGTATCTAATATAAATATTATATTTTCAGATTCCATAATGTACCATCGCTTGAACAACTCCTATTTTATAGCAGAAGATAAAATCAATGGTTGGGGTAACAGAACATATTTTACATACTATTCAGAATTCAACAGAAAGAATGCCATCACACCGTACATAGAAGCCAGCGTATTGAGCATCCTGTGTATCTTTTCAACTGTAGCAAACTCGATCATCTTTATGACATTAACATGTAATCGCTCTTTAAGAACAGTGACCAATTTCTTTATCTGCAACCTAGCTGTATCCGACATGTTGTTCACAATGTCGGGACCGGTCATTGGTGCTTGTAGAATCACTCAGTCGTGGACTATGGGCCACTGCGCATGCATCACGATTGTTTATTTGGAATTCGTCAGCGGATCGGTCAGTATCTGGACGATGGTCATGATAAGTGTGGAACGTTTTATCTGTATTGTGAAATGCTCGACATCAACGTTTACTCCACGAATTGCGGTGTTCGTTATTTTAGTCATATGGATTGTAGCTCTGTTATTCTATTCTCCCATCCTGATTTCATTTCACGTAAAGACGTTTCCTTTCGGAAACACCACAGTGAAAATTTGTACAATCGAATGGCCCAAGATGGATACCTTCAGAATATCCCTGATCTTTACTTCGTCTATTGTTCTCGTATATTTCTTGACACCATTCATTTTTTTGGTACATAACTATGTTAGGATCTTTTTCAAGTTTTGGAAAACTCGTCAAATAGCGAAACGAACAAGAACCCAGCCTGATCCAACATGGCCGAGCACTCGTTTACATATTCAAAAAATACGAGACGCGCGTGACTTAAAAGTTATAAAAACAGTTTTTGGACTTGTTATCATCTTTGCTATCATGTGGCTGCCTATATTTACTGTATTTATAATCATATTGGTGGATAATGCTTTAAATGACATGAAATTAGGCTCATATATATTTATAATAGGCTTGTGTATTAGTATGGGTAATGCTTGCGTTAATCCAATTTTATATGGAGTTATGAATGAACAAGTAAAGACAATTCTTGTTTCGTGTTTTAAACGTAAACCAATGTTATCAGATATGGGACAAAACAGACAACTAGTAAGACCGCATTCACTTTATAGTATTGAACCTGTTCCTTAAATCGTCAGTAAAATTGAAAGTACCTAATTCATAGGGAACCTAAATATATGTTCCATTGTGTATAACCTAAACGTATTGTTAAACAACTGTACAATTTATGTTTATCTGGCAGTATGAGATTTGTAATGTAAATAAAATTATTGACTCAAGTTGCATAGCACGCCTACGATAAATAAAAACAAACTACTTATTGAAGAGCGTTGGCCTTTGAATCTGCCATCCCTTCCTCGTCTTACAAGTGTACTGCATAATGACGTAAAAATTTGCTGATTATCAGAAAGGGAGTATAAGCTCTTATTAAAATTTGAATGTCCCGTTCTCCTTGGGCCTTTTCACTACCTTGACCCCGCCCCTCCCACCTACCACCACACACTTTTCAGTATGTTTAATTTAATCGCAATTAACTTGTGTATGTTAGAAGAGTAATCTAATATACCAATCATGCGTATTAAAGTTTTCAACTGTTTCTTATTTATTTACTATTTTTCTTTTTAATTTATTGACATGGGATTTACTTAAGTCTGTTGAGTACTGTGTCAGATGTTATGCCTACAATTTTACTTACAATAATGTCATAGCTTGGGTCTCCATGGTGGCTCGGTAGTGAGTAAGACGCTGGCTCACCAACCAGTGTGGTTTCACTTTTGTCAGTGATGCAGAATGGGAAGGCGGGGGGTGGTGGAAAGGATCGGCGTTTAGTGTACACGTTGGTGCGCCAGTAAATGATCCTGTGGCAGTTGGAATTCGATCAAGAGTTGGCGGAAACACCGCTGGCCGGGCAATATTTCCCACACCGAAGCCTATATCGTATGCACATCTTCATTATCCCGGTTGGTACAGACGTGTGAACAAGAGGGAAATGGGTTTAACGTCCACTTGACACAAACTAGGTCATTTCGGGACTAACATGGTACAATTTTATTTCATTAATTCGCTTGGGCGTAGGGGTCTTTAGCAGTGGAAGGAAACCGGAGGACCCGGAGAAAACTCACGAGGTTGGACATGCGACCCTACTGCTTCTCACGTTCAAGCGAGGAATCGAAACCACCCCACTTGACTCAATGACAGACCTTATGATCCAACGCTCAAATAATGCAGTATTGAACGGTTCCGACAAGGTACAATCTCAGCCAACACCGGAATCGAACGTGTGACCTCCGATGTATATTGAGTCAGCGCCTTATCCATTGAGCTACCGTGGCTCCCCAGGGATAAGACACGGGTAGTCATAATTTCAGTCTACTTTACTAAATTCTGTTAAAATTAATTAAGGGAAATACATTTAATAATTTATTATACCACATATAATTACAATAATTTTCATGATGTCACTAATATTTGGGCAGAATTAGAAATCTGAAAAGGGGGAGGGGGTATAATTATTAATCAACGGGTATTATGATTAATAGCAGGGGCTAATGCTTTTATTAGAGATCCTCTTAAATTAAAAACATGTGGTTTCAATGCGGTTTTCATAATATTCATTTATAAAAGGAAAACATATATATACGCCGCGACAATTACAAGAATTTATCTAGGAGTGCCGATTGCCTACGTCCATCAGATGGCTTACCTCGAACTATGAATGAAATTTGGTTTAACGTCCTACTGTTCTGCTCCGGACTGGGGTAATGAAGACGGGCATACGCCATACAGTGTGCTATGAGGGAAATTTTGCCCGGACAGCGGCACTACGGCCTACTCTTATATCGAATTTCATTTCAAATGTGCTCGCCAATGTGTACACGGGACCTCGGTTTTTCTTCCCATACGAACGACTAGACAGGCCCTCTGTCCTGCATCACTAACAAGGGAGAACCACGCCGGAAAATCTGGATGAACTTTCTAGGAAATACGAATGAAATATGTATTATATTATAAACACTTATTAAGGCAGCCGCGGTGGCTCGGTGAATAAGACGTTGGCTCGCTATCCTAGTGTTGGCCCTAGTGGGGTCCCCTATACACGTTGTGCAGTTGGAATTCGATATAAGAGTAGGCCATAGCGCAGCTGACCAGACAAAATTTCCTCATAGCACACAGTATGGCGTATGCCCGTCTTCATTAGTCCAGTCGGAGCAGAACAGTAAGACGTTAAACCACATTTCATAAGACATAAATGTAATCCTAGCAACAGAAGGTTTGCGAATGGCCGTCTTAACCGGGATACGGAAGACACCTGATAAAATGCTACTTACAGATTAATTATAATCAATATTTAGCGCCATTATTTAAACACCACACCTCTAACCTAAGGTTTTTCATAACGATAAGAATTGATGGTAAACCAATCAGAATCCATTTTACTCACATCTTGCTTCTCAGCTGATATTTGTCCGTGATTTATATCAACCCAGGAAAAGATTATAACAATTAATAAACAATACACTCAGTAAAAACTTAGTTATTTCAAAGCCAATCTCATCAAAACGTGGTCGATGCCTTGCTCTGGATAAAAAAAATTTAACAGGTAAGTTGCACGATGTTTAATCTAATTACAATTAGATTATCATTTCTTGTGTAGTTGTTTTTCTCTTGGATGAAAAATGACAATTAGCGACATGGTTTCGGTTGAAAATATTCGGAGCCTACTGAATTTTTCATGAAATAAATCATTAGACGAAAAGTAAATCATTTGTTATCGTGTTCTTGCTCTTTTATCTCAATTCAAATGTCGACCAACGCAGTCAGACTATCAGGCTATTCAGACTGCGTTGGTCGACATTTTTTTTACCCGACACAAAGCTCTCTAATCGCACCAATAATAGCGCTAGATGTAAATCTGTGAAATTGAGAATCTGAATTCAAGTTCCTTTCCAGATTCAAAACCAAATCAAATCTTTGTGCGAATTCGAATTTGATTTCACAGAATATTGACATACTCAACTGACGCCATTTTATATCCAAAGAATTCACAACCATGAGACGATTGGTTCCTCTATCTGGATTTGGGTTTTAAATTCTTTATGAAAAAGAAATGGATTGCGTATCCGTTTTGGGGGCATTTATCTAATTTGTAATATCTTAAAGCTTTGAAAAATATTGTAAACTGTAAAGTTGATATCGTTGACCTAGCAACTTTTTATAAATGAAAATATATGCACCAAACAGATCAAAGTTATCATTTTATATCTATAATGATTAATACGTTAGTAATCAGATAGTTTCTTTAGCAACGGGTCCATGCACGTAACAGATCCCCCGGCAGTTGGAATTTAAAAGCCCAGAACAGTAGGACGTTAAACCCCATTTCATTTCATTTTCCTTTAGAAACGGTCTCTGATCGGACGCTGCCCACTGACCGTTCCTATCCGTCCCCATATAGCTGCAATATGAAAATACAACTCTATCCCACCTCTGTTCTAAGGCTATTTTGGAATCCTTACCGATTATGTCTTACCGTGATTCTTCTCCTTTCGTCAAAGGCAATCATTTCTCGCCATATCTGACACACATTTATAATAATTCAACACTATTTTCAAGTAGAATTTTACGATTAAAAGCATACAAAAAATACGTTTGAAATGACCAGCCATTATGAGACTCAAAACATCATGCGCAGATCGCATGTTTTTTAAATCGGAAAATTCTTCTTGAAAATAGTGTTGAATTATTATAAATTTGTGTCAGATATGGCGAGAAATGATTCCTTTTGGCGAAAAAATAAATCACGGTGAAAAATAGAAGGTAAGAATACCATCATAGGTTATTATTACTTCTATATTCTAACAATAGATAAATAATAACTGCAGCTAAAGCTTTTATCAAATTTGATCCCAGTAGTTGCCAATATTATCTATATTATTAGAATACAGAAACTGATTGACCATCTGCTCTAATTTAATTTTGGCTCTTTTTTGGCAGGCAGAAATTATAACTAACAATACTAACATGAATCAAAACTTCAACAACCGGTTAAACAACTCCTACTTTATGATAGAAGACAAAGTGAATGGTTTGGGCAACACGACGTTCTTTACATATTATTCTGAATTTAACCGTGGATCGGATGAAAACCCATATATAGAAGCTGCGGTACTAAATATATTGTGTATGTTTTCAACTGTAGCAAACTTGATCATCTTTATGACATTGACATGTAATCGCTCTTTAAGAACAGTGACCAATTTCTTTATCTGTAACCTAGCTGTATCAGACATGTTGTTTACAATTTCTGGACCATTCATTGGTGCGTGTAGAATCACCCAGACGTGGACCATGGGCGAGTTTGCTTGTAAATCCATTGTATACATGGAGCTCGTTTGTGCAACGGTCAGTATTTGGACAATGGTTATGATAAGTGTGGAACGTTATATTTGTATCGTAAAGGCTGCAAGTGCTGTATTCACTCGTCGAATCGCTATCATCGTCATCATAGTCATCTGGGTTGTGACACTTCTGTTTTTTTTGCCAGCTGCATTCTATTTTCGTGTCATGACGTTCCCATTTGGTAACACGACTGTTGATGTTTGCACCACAGATTGGCCAAAGGTTAGATCCATTCAGTTACCACTGATTTTCACAATCTTCATACTTCTGATAGTTTTCTTGGTACCGTTTCTCCTTTTGACACACAATTACATTAGAATTTTTTGGCGATTTTGGAATGCCCGTAATATAATGAAGCGTACGAGAGTGCAGTATGATCCAACATGGCCGAAAGTGAGTTTGCATGTTCGACAAATTCGCGACGCCCGAGATTTGAAAGTTGTAAAAATATTGTTCAGTTTGGTCATCATCTTTGCTATCATGTGGATGCCGATATTTACTGTATTTCTATACATATTGATAGATATTGCATTAAATGACATGAAATTGGGCTCATATATATTTATAATAAGTATATGTATTAGTATGGGTAACGCTTGCGTTAATCCAATTTTATATGGGGTAATGAATGAGCATTTAAAAACAGTTCTATTATCGTGTATAAAACCTCAACCAGAAACTGATGCCAGACAGAATGTAAACAATAGACAACCTATAACCTCAGAAAGATCGCAAAGAAATCTGGTTAAACCTTGTTCTGTTCACGGTATACAACCTATTCCCGAAGAACCCGATTGATAACAATACTTTATGCATACTGATAGACATGGCGGGCGTGTCGGTCATATCTTTGATTATTTTTAAATATACTAATTTCACAGATGAATATCAATTAGATTGACAAGCCCCGTGGGAGAAGGAACGAGTCTGTCAAGGACAGATACAAATACATATTGGGAGTGAATTAGAGAATATAATTTAGGTTCAGAAGGCTAAATGTGGTCATTACTTATATTATTAATACATACATATACTTGGTTTCGTTGTATTTTTCGTTTTTCAATTGTATTTTTAACGCAGCAGTGGAGTTTACGGTCAAGAATTGATCGAAATTTTGCAGTTGGTTGATTCTGTAACACTGTCATGTTTAAATCGGCAGGCCACGTTAATAAATTCTCCCTGTCCAGTCTATGAAAAAACGATAACTAGTATTTCCATAGAATTGTGGCCAGTCTAGGGGATCGGGACTACCAACAAGCAATATCTTATGGCTTATGCTAGATTCCCACTGTCGTCCGATGCGTTACGATAGGATTGTCCTTATTGAGTCCACGATATGATACGTGCAGATACAATGTACTTTCAGATACGTTTCGATACGATCAACACGATTGCTACGACTCACCCCAATCTATAATAAGACCTGATAGGATCATCACGATTACTCCACCATTAAAAGCACGATCTCAATCGTAGAGCGAATCGTCATAGTGGGAAAATAGCATCAGCAGTATGGGCCAACGTTCAAGGAATGGTATATATATATATAAAAAAAACAATTTAGTTCGTTTCACATTATTTTATGTACAGCGATTGTATTTAAATTATGTATGTACAAAAATGATATAAGGAATTAAATCATTTCGTCAGCTAAATTTAAAATAATTATTTAATGATAATTGAAAGAAAAGTTAAAAGAACGTCTAGGCAGAATAACCTATAGTGTCCCAGAAATCACATAGTCTCTGTTGATAGTCATTCTCTACAGACGAAGCTGGAGTTTGGAAATGCAGTATAGGGTATTTAGCTGTTTTTGTGTAAACTGGCCACACAGGCGCATTTTGTACATAATATTTATCATCATCCATGCCTTTATTGGGATCTCCTGTTTTGGCAAAATTTGTCCAATACTGAATAATTAAATCACTGAGCACGATTTCATCTGGTGTATACTTAAAGCCAGCTAGTGAAGCAGTTTGAAATACGTATGGTATTTCTGAACCGTGACAAACATGACCTTCGCAGAATGTAATATTTCCCCACCCAGGGAAAGAGAACGCGTGATCCCAGATATACAGCCAAGTGTTAGCATTGCCATGTTTAATTAGAGAGCGAGTTGCGTTCCTAGTCGAGCAAACGAAAACGAGATCCGTGGACAACTTGCTAAGATCATCACGTTCATCTGTTGGTTGATCTGGTGGATATTCATACAAAATTTTTAGGGATTGGCGTGGGTACGTTCCTATTACAACTTCAAAATATTTCAAATTGTCTACTCGTGAGCCCCAGGCACTGTAGATGTAAATCCGAGTTTCTTCTGACGTCGTTCCGAGCATGATCGGTTTCTTTGAGAATTCGCCATTAGCTAGGTTCACCAGGGGTTGTTTATCTACGAGAATTCCGTCAACCACTGGCCCCCACGGTTCAAAAGCTTCTAAGAGTTTTAAAGAGGCTATTTTAGATCTGGACTGAAATTGTGCAAACACCAGTTCTTCTGATGTCTTTCGTCTTAGGCATTCAATATCTAGTGGTGTGCAACCTGCCAAGTTTGAAAACTGGGAGCTAAGAATAAGTGCCTCTGTGTAAGATTTGTATGGAATAGTAAAAGGCGAACTCTCCACAATAGCTTGCTGGAAGTATGGAGCACTCTCCGGGTTTGAAAGATGAATCATTGTAGATTGAGCACCAGCACTTTGTCCATATAAAGTGACCTGAAATAATTAAATTGAGAATACTAATTCTTATTTAAATAAATCGGCAATATAGGACCATATCTGAGGGTATCTTCTAACAGGCCCAAGAAATCGGCAGTATAGGACACCGCAGGACATGTTCAGAAATCACCGATTTAAGAAGGGGGCTCTCCTTGTTATAAATGGAAGTAATACATCAATCAATATACAACATTACACTATTTTGTTTGAACATAAATCAGATAAATCTGACTACCGGTACTTTAACGGTATACAGCTTCATATGTCTGTCTTCTATAAGATTATAAACAAATGACTTTCCACTGCGCGGCGTTGGACTTCCACCTTATGTATATATTGAAAGATAATATGTTGCTGTAAACCTAATTCCACTTAATTAATTACAATTTTTTACCTTTGCTGGGTCGCCCCCAAATCCTCGGATATTTTCTTGAACCCATTTAAGTGCTAATTGTTGATCTCTGATACCATAGTTTCCATGCGCTTCCTGGTCACCAGGGCCAGTTACCAAAAATCCAAACACGCCTAGGTATATAAATTTTGATTAATACATATTAACAAAAAATGATGAAAGATGCGGCACATATGCATACACTCCTTAAAGAAACCGTCTGACAAACAATATAGTGAATTCAACTGGAAGGTATTTGGCCACCATTATCATAGTCGTATCATGCAAGCTTTGCCATAGGCAAATGAATGTCTGTATGCTTGATAGTTATGTTTATGCGATCGAAAAGTTACACAGTGGATAAATTATTTTAATTTTGTCTGAATGATTGTTAATTGTTCCTTACAACCTTGTGATTTGTGAGTTGATCCATTACTGCGTTTTGAACAAGAAAATAAATACTATAATAACCTGGGTTGTTAATCAATTTATTGTGAAACAGTTATACGTACCTAATCTATATTCAACATTAACATGAACGATATTTCCTTTCATGGTAATAACTTGTGCATCAAACAGCAGAGAATTGGCACTCATATGTACAAAGTTACCGCCATGGATATACACCATTACGGCCAGACCTGATGTAGCATTGGTATTTAAAGGGGTAAAGATATCCAGATAAAGACAGTCTTCAGAAACCTAAAATGTAAGTGGCGGTTTATTTTAGTCACTTTGTAAAATAAAGGGACCCCTTGAAATTCTTTACCCATAATCCCTAAGCAACGGTAACAGGTATTATTAATTATTAACGCTGTCTGTGGAGGTGTCGGTCAGTTGGGGTTATGACTTATTTTTTGCACAGGGAGTTTATTGCAATTTTACCCCGTCCTATTTTTTTAAGCAAGCAAGTTCAAAACTACCGACAAGTCTTTTCCCTCTCATAGCCCAACCAGAAATACCAGCCCGCCCAGATTGGAGAATCTCATGAGCAAAAAACAAAACACGGGTCCATTTAAAGAGAAAGTCTGGCTAGCTTTTGCCTCAATTGTGAATGCGTGAAATCATGACCTTTTTCGTCTAAACTTAGTGCTACATGTACGTAATCACAGATTCTTACACAGTTCCTGTCTCTGACCCATTATATCTTATGCAGGTCTATTATTCCATTTTGTTCTGATGTTGATCTATTAAACTTACAGATTGGGTAACAAAATAGCGAGTATGGCCGAAGCTGGCCGGACTCTCTGACAACCCAATATCAAGTTGGACAACTGATCTTGTTAACGGATAAGTTATATCGTATCGTATATACAAATTAAAAACTGCGTTACCTTTGTTGGACAAACGGTCGGCGGGTTCAGATCAGTGCAATGGTATTGAGTGCAGCCACTCTTTTTCTCGGTTGCCATATAAACTTGCTGTCCCCATGGTTTCGGATAAATTGGATCCTGCCACCTTCAATGTAACATTAAAGTATTTCTGTTCAAATATAAATCGGGTATATCTGAATAGTGAAGGGGTGTAAAAATGTGACCATATAAATACATCAAATTGAACACGTACCATATTAACACTTTAATTTATCATCTAAATATAAGAGGTCATGTCAAAATTATGTTGTTTATCACTCTGGCATGTGCATGCAACCAAGGAACTGATAAGTTTTACATGCTAAAAAATTAACATTATAATGATAGCGTTGCTTGAACCAAGCCATGCAATTTTTGAATATTAGAACTTTTAATTACAGTGGATATTCTACATTAAATCTGAAAATTTAACTCGCAATGTCAAATGGATATGCATTCTGACAGAGTAATTAACTCGATGCACTTACCTCATCGAGTCAATTGGTGGGGTTGCGTAAGGTACACCATAAAATACATTTGATTTGTCGGTCGTCACGCCCTGGATGGTCCCGAAGTTAGTTTTGACTGTGGGTCCAGTAGCACCACTGGCTAGCCCCACCAAAACGCAATATAGGATTGGTGCTGACAGCATGGCCGTTATGTGTATACCAAATGTCAAAAAGACGTTAATGAGGTGGCCCTTAGTTCACTTGGAATGAACATTGATCTGATATTAACCATGGGATCTTGATGTTGATAAGATAATAGATTTATCTATGTACGCATCAGTTGATATTTGTTTTGGGATATTTTAGGCCAGGGTTGTGTACGTGTGATATTAATATTATCAGCATTATTGATAACTATAAAATTAAGTAGATATCAAATTACAAATTGTTCCACAGTGGGTCTTACCCTAAGGCATTACAATAGAGAAGCTTCTATAATTAGGATGAGCTATGCATATGAATATTTATATTTCATACTACCTCATTACTGTAAAAAAAAAGATAGGTTGCCAGGCAACGAAATATACGCCCACAGCAGCTAAATCGTCCAGGCAGTGAACAAGTGTTGTCGCATATTTTTACTTTTTTCGGTAATGAAATATTTATAATGCACTAAAATCTGATTAAGAGTAACATCTCATGAAGTAATTATCAGAAAACCATTAGAATTTGTTCTGCTCCATACTAACGTTAAGTATACGAAACTTTTAATATCATGGATTTAGCTGTCATAAAAAATAATTGAAAATCAATATACTTTTTCGTCTCAAGACCTTAAACTCTGTGTATCAATCTGAAGTCAATCGGATGATAACTTTAGCCTCTAGAGCGTCACAAGATTTTTCAAAGTGATCAAGGGCCATAACTCTGGCAGTAATTATCAGAAATCGCTGAAAATCAATAGGCTTCTTCGTCTCATGGCCTTGACACTGTATATAAATTCAAAGTCAATCGGATATTAACTGTGGACGCCTGACCGACAGACGGACGGACGGGGGCGACAACAATATACGACCACATTTCAATGTGGGCGTATAAAAACTAACAGAATGGTTGAATTATACAAACAAATTGGGTTAATTCTCAGAATTGGCAAATTTTTAGGGTAAACTGGAAAATTATATCTAAAGTTGTTCCAGCTTTTAGTGACAGGTTGTCTCTATGACTGCACTTATTACAATCTTCGTTACACACGAGGAATGACTAAAGTGATCTTGCGGGATGGAGGGTCTGGCAAGGAACGGCATTTGGTCGTTGGGATGGGACGAAAAACAGAGGTACCGTGTACACAACTACGTGTACATAAAGTAACACTTGACAGTTGAATTCTAAATAAGAATAGGTCGTAGTACCACTGTCCAGGCAAATCTTCCCTCAAAATAGACTACATGGCGTATCCCCATCTTCATTTGGTCAGATGCAGCAGAAAAATGGGACGTTAAACCGAATTTCATTTTACAAGCAACATGGTGCTCTAAAAGCTCAAATTCTTATGTGTTGCATTGCCAGAAGTTCTGCAATAACATGTGGAAGAGCTTGGCAAAACTATATGAAGTCGGTTAGGGAAACAAAATAACAGTCTATCAGACAACAAAACAAACACCACAGCAGCTAAATCGTCCTCTCAGTCGACAAGGATTGTCACACATTTCTTATTTTGTAGTGAATGGGGTCATTTACAATACACTAATATTAATTGCATGCAGATCGGATGTTAAATTTGTCGTTTGAGTGTTCGCGAGGTTAAACAAAGTTAAACACGGGATATAACTATAGAGTAGTGTTCGGCACGAATATTCGAATATTCGCTCGTCGAATATAATATTCGAATAGCAATTACCATATTCGAATATTTTCGAATATCTATTATTTATTCTATTTGCTCTCAAATATGATTAAAGGCGACTTCCCTTGCCACATTTACATTCCAAGCTTACTTAGATTACCTAACCGCAGCTTGTAAGGGTGCTACCCCTACACAGATCTACCGTCTTCAGGGACAGTTATACGGTAAGTAGCTAGTTATCTACTTTGGTTAGCCAGTTAGTTCCGCGATGGAGTTGGCTGTCTTGACCATAGAGGTGTATATATTGACAATATATACACCTCCATGGTCTTGACTAATATCACATCAAGGCTAATCTTTGGAACCACATGAAGTTGAAACATGGATACGTAGCTCCAGATACTTCATCTGCACGGGACGTGGGGTCAGGCAAGATTCAGCCAATTAAAAAGTTCTACACAAGTTCTTCAGGCAACAGCAAAAAGTATGACAAGATTCAGCGCAGCAAAAAACATCAGTGAGAAATTGATCAAGTTTGTAGCCAAGCATTATCAGCCCCTCTCTCTTATTGACAATGACCATTTTCGGGAATTGGTAGAAGCCCTGAATCCATCACACAATTTGCGGTCAAGTAAAACACTCAAAAAAGAATGGAAGAAATCTATGATGCCGTTCGTTCCGACGAACATCAAATCAGGAATGACCCAAGTCAGAAGTTATCCCTGTGACCACAGATGTATGGACATCAGATGAACAAAATGAGTCTTGCATTAATTTAACCGCTCATTTTGTATCACCAGATTGGGAGATGGTGGCTAAGACTCTGGAAGTGAAATCATGTCCAGGTTCACAGACCTCGGATAAACTAAAAGAGCATCTGACGGAGATGGCAGATGACTGAGGTATGGTTGAGGTCCGCGTCTACTTGATGCGATGTCATGGAAGACCGAGGTCTTGTGTATAAATTGGCAGTTTACGCAAAAGATCCACTGGCAATTGCTAAAATATAATCGTGTCACATGTCAACAGAAATTTCACGTATTTCATAATTAATTGGAAATTATTATAAATTGAATATAAATCACTTTAAATATATTTATATTAAAAGTTGAAAATATTCGAATAGTATTCGAATACTATACGAATACAATTTTCAAGACCCTTCGAATATTTGAATAGTATTCTTGTTCGAATATCCGAACACTACTATAGAGGTAATTGACATAAATTGTTGAAATTCAAGTCTTCGCGTTTCACTAATTTAAATAATGCACATAAATTTCATACAGATAAATTTCGAGCGTTCACATGGTTCTACAAAGCGAAACAAGGGCCATAACTCTAAAGGTAATTAACATAAATTGTTGAAGTTCAACAAGTTTCTTTATTGTTAAATCCCAATACTGCAGAAATAATAACGTAAATTGTTGAAATTAAAGAGACTTCTTCGTCCCAAGAACGTAAACTACATATATAAATTTCGGATGATAAATGTATTCTATAGCGTGTGCACAAGATATTGTGAACGACAGGCTGGGGTTACGACAATATACAATGACATTTCGTTGTGGGCGTATAAAAATAATATGACGAGCAACCGCGTGGTACGTGTATTTAATATCAGACACAAGCTAGTTTTTATCCGGAGGGCATCAATTTGTGTTAGCATTTTATAATCAACTTGTGGTATTATTTTGAGATGTTCCATGTTTTTGTTCATCATGAATTGTTGGGTTAGCAATAAATCAAATCACTCAGATAGTTATCTGCCAAACAGTAGTGCTCATAAAACCTACAAGACGTTTGTCACAATCTGTCCGGCGGTATATTTATCACAGATCAATGATTATTTTATAGCCTGGTTCGCCAACTCTGGGTCGCGACCTCAGTCGCCATGCACTTTCATGAATGAAAAGCATATAAATCTCTGATATATACACTTGACTTTTGCCATGTTGCCAATGTCTTTCCTCAATTTTTATAAAGGTGTAAAAATATAAACAATAAGTTATCAAATAAGTAAAACAAAAATAAAATATAAATAATGATGACGTTTCATTGGTCGCGATCAGATGCTGGTTTCTGGAATGGGATCGCAACCAACACAAGCCAACAGGGAGGCTGATATTCCCCACCGAAATCCCAAAATAAATAGATGACACATTAATTAATAGCATATCTTTTTTTCAGCATATTTTTTTTTCAAAAGTATCAAGCAATCAAACAGATTATCAACTAAACACTAGGTTTCATCACTCTCTATCAGATAGAATCAAAGTTATCTTGTCCAAAAGCATCGACCAATGAAATTGCTTAGCTCTGCTTAGCTTTAGCTCGATATGTTAATCATTGAACTCAGTCAAGACATTCACCTAATGAACATCTACATCAAGTTTAAACATTCTACCTCAATACACCAAGTTTCATCACTCTCACTAAAGTTATCCTGTCCCAAAGCATCAACCAATCAAATTGCTTATCTCTGCTTACCCTAAGCAGAAAATGCTCATCTTCGAACTCCATCAAGGCACTGACCTCATAAAAACCTACACTATGTTTGAACATTCTAGCTCAATTAGAAACAGAGTTATTGTGTTCCAAAGTCTTGGCCAATCCAATTGCTTATCGCTCTGCTTACCCCGAGCAGAAAATGCTCATTATCGAACTTAGTCAAGGTATTGACGTAATGATACTCTACACCAAGTTGGATCACTCTGACTTAATTAGAACTAAAGTTATCGTGTCCCAAAGCATCAACCAATCAAATTGCTTATCTCTGCTTACCCTTAGCACAAGCAGAAAATGCTTATCTTCGAACTCCATAAAAGCATTGGCCTAATAAACACCTACACCAAGTTTGAACATTCTAGCTCAATTAGAAGAGAGTTATTCTTTCCCAAAAAGTGTGACGGACAGACAGACAGACAGACGAACCCATTTTAATAGTCCCCTGCTTTCTTCAAAAGGCGGGGGCGAAAAGGTTGGGTACTACTGTTCTATAGTGATGGAAAAACACTAACAAATATTCTTTGGTGTGTGCAGGTCTTAAACCAATCAAACTTGATACAGTACATGTAAGTAACTGAATTTAATAAAAGGCAAGTTTTACATTCAGCAACAACTATATACAATAATAGATCATGATGTGGTGAAGTAAAATAATTTGATCAGTATGAACAAATATTATGATGCGTATATCAGGTGTGAAACATGTAGCATTATTATGCAAATCTTCTAACAAATTAACAAGTGATAATCAAAAATATTACAACTACAAAATATAAAATAATGTGTTTTTGGCTGAATCATAATTTTGCTACTTTCCTGAGTTCTAATAATTCTTCTAATAAACTAAAATTTAAGAAGATATGATAATTTTGTTTTGAGGTTGGGTTTTTTTCCTATTCAATATATACAAACAATGATAAGGGAAATACATAACAAGAAGCTTCACAATGAATCAAATGTTAACACTGAAAAAAGAAATAACAAAACTATTAAAAAAATAAAGTAAAAGTTTGGGTATTCAGTGGGGTAAAACAAGAAGTGGTCTTTAAGTACATTATATTCATAACAATTATAGAATTTCTTTGCAAGAATAGAGACGATATTTCAAATTCCAATAACAAACAGCATCTTTTTGTAGTTGCATTGGAATGAAAAGGACAAACTAGAGTGGGGCCCTGGGCAATAGTGGGGCCCTGGGCCAGACTAGAATTGCAGGGCCCCTACCGCTACGAAAAGATTATTTTATATCCTTTCAAATGGAACGCATGTGTAACACACAATTAAACGGTCTGCAGTACAAGAAGAAATTACATATCTGATCAAATAGGAAATCTATTCAGTTCCAAATGGCATATAGGCGCGAAAATGAAATATAATGGAGCAGAACTGTTATAGCAAGTTGAATCAAAAGTGTTGTAGTGTACGTGACTGGTGAGGGCCTAGGAAAAGTTGCTCATAATTAGCATACGAGCGATCACCTACATCACAGGTTTCAACCGATCACAGAGATGGTTGAGGGATCGCAGATTCACCCCGCCTACACCCATCGTGCTGCTAGTTCGATGAGTGGAACATTCATCGGGAATTTAATAGGGTTTTTTTCTTTTTTTGCCATGATCTGCAGGGCCCTCGGGCAATTTGGCTCTTGGTTAAGCTGGGCTGTGCATGTATTACTTATTGCATAACGACTACTATGTTTGGACATACCCTGTATATTCCATATTTAGCCTCAAGTAATAAAAACTTGAGATGTAGAGTTAGAAAATTTAAAAATGTAATCTTACTCCATAAATAACAGTGAGTATATGATTCTATAGTGACATACAGCCAAATATCTTAAACCTTACTCTTATAAAAACATATCCTTGAATCTACGCAAGTCAGAACAATTTATCACCATTAGTCTATCTTAAATCACACTATTTGTTAAATACATAAAGACACATATTTTAAACTAATTTAAAGAACATGATATTTTAAATATTGAATTCGAAAGATACACAGTAGGCTATTGATAGTCGTAACAAAGTATATGTTTATTCCATACAAAGATTTAATAATTACAATAACACTGTCTTTAATGTGGTCTTCACCAGATGGTTATATCAAGGATGTTCATATTATTAGATCCTGTGCAAAATTTGTGATAAATCTGACCAGCTATATTGAAGTATAGACTTTTTAACTTATAATTTTTGTAATGATTTTATACATCACTCTCTGACCAGCTATGCCTAAATAAAACATGTCAATTATTTTAGGGAGAGAGAGACAAATGGGGTTTAACGTCCACTCGACACATACTAGGTCATTTCAGGACTAACGAATGGTTTAATTTTATTTCAATAATTCGCTTGCGTATAGGGGTTTTTAGCAGTGGAAGAAAACCGGAGGACCCAGAGAAAACCCACAAGGTTGGACAGGCGACCCTACACATACAACCAGGGAATCAAAACCACGCCAGTTGACTCAATCACAGACTTTATGATACAACGGTCACACGCTAACCATTCAGCCATGCAACCCCCCAATTATTTTAGGTAAGACACAAAACATTAATCAGTTGGTTAGTACAGGTAGTAATAAATCATATATAAAAATTCATATAATAAAACATTACGTAACTACACTAATTACTCTTGTGATGGATGGAGACATTACAACAACATACACAATCTTTATAGACAGCTGAATGAATGTAATTTTCCTAACTGATAAAGTATACTGAGACACAATGAAAACAACACTTTTATAAATAAATGATTTTAAATCTTGTTTGAGATACACTTTAATCTGGGAATTCCAAATTAATTTCAGATTGAACTAAATAAAACAGATTCTAGTCAAATAGAAATGATCTGCTGCCACTGACTCATGTCAAAATCACATATTTTACATATATAATACAATGGAAATTATATGTATATTGTTATGTTTGCCTGGCATGATCTGAAACAGTTATGCTTTAAAGTTCTTAATAAACATGATAAAACGTACATGCAAATTTAAATGAAATACAGAAATGAGGCACACTACATGTATGCCTTTCTGTAGATATAAACACTTTCATCCTGATCAATCAATCAGATAACTATATGAAGAACAAACATAGTATCATCAGCAAGTTTTAACTATCACATAACACAAAATGTTGAAATATGTAAAATAGCACTCAAGGAAGCATTGTAACAAAATACTGAGGCTAAGATTTAAGATGAAAAAGACTATAATAAACTTATAACATTGAAAGAAATTCCTTTTCCACAGCATCGGCTATTTCATCATCAACTGATCCTATAGAATCCTTATCTGAGTCACTCATATTGGAATCTGGAGAGAAGGCTTCTAAATTTTTCTGATATTTGTCCAATTCATTTTCAGAGTCCTCATCAGGGACGGGAGCATCGCTGTCCTCTTCTTTAACTTTTTCTATGCAATCAACTTCCGATTGCGTCTTTTTCTTCCAGCCTCGGGGAAAGTTGGCATCTAAACTGTCATCAGTAGAGGATTCTTCGGGAGGGTTGCTGAGGACTTGATTACGAACACGCTCATGGCGATCTACTTCATCTTCATCTGAAGCATCTTCATCATCATCGTCCATTAAATCTTCAACTTCTTTATCCATACATTCAATATCTTCATCAGAGAAAGAAAAGAGAGGGTTAAAACTGGTGGCAAATCTTGATTTGTTTTGAGCATCCTCTTCCATGCCTTCATCTTTCCTAGCACGCTTCAAAGAATTTGAATCTTGAATGTTCTCGCTACCAAAAACATTGTCAGTGTCCTCAGCTTTCCGTTTCTGTTTTTTGGATAGTTTTCTTAGACTTTCAGCATTTGTTATCGGACTGTCACAATACGAACCCGCACTGTCATCTGAGACGGGAAACAAACGTTCATCAACTCGCTCCCATCTGTACGAACAACACAGTAACCAATCCAGATTAACAATACAAATGTTCTTCATTTTACTAGCAAGTTTATATTTAGCAGTCCCAGCTTTTGACGTCACTAGATGGGTTGTTGCCTCTTCAGGATTTTCTTTACGAGAAATAATGTTCGTGTGAATATTAGCACCTAATGTTTTAGCAATAATGTAGGCCCTACATTTTTCAGGGGCCATATTTAACGGTACAACACCACTAAAGACAATGTTCACACCCTTAAGAACTTTTCGTCTGACATATGGAATGATATTCTTAATGTTTGGTAATTCTGACATGTCCTCCTTATCCTTCATTTGATCGTAAACATCATAATAAGCTGTGTGAATTCGCGTTAAAATATCTGTTAAATAAATAAGATAATCATCATCATCTACCCATTCTATCTCCTCCACTTCTTCTTCACTGTTCTGTGATTTAATGGTTTCTTTCGATTTATCATCTGTTGTGGAGGTAGTAGACTGCTCAGAGTTATTTCCCTTTGAATTAGATATGTCTGCAACAGAATTGTCCGAATGCAGAGAATTTTTATTATCTGCGGCAGTTTTATTTGAGTTTTCATCACTTTGATTGGAAGAAGAATTAATGTTGTCTTTTACTAAATCTTTGTCACCATCAGTAGACATTCTATCTGAATCTGATTCGACTTCCATCGCTTCTGGTTCGTCCAATTTCTGTGTTTGTGGTTTCTCTGATTTCTGTGTTTGTGGTTCGTTTGTTTTCTGCTTTTCTGGGTCGTCTGATTTCATTGTTTCTGGTTCGTTTAATTTCTGTGTTTCTGAACTTGATCTGCGTACTTCATGTGACACTGGTACACTGTCATTCTCTGTTTTTGTCAATCCAGGAGGGGCATTAATATCTGCTGTACCTTGGAAGAAATGATAAGGTTTAACATGAATCAGATTTGGTGCGAAGTTCCAAACATCTTCTCTGTCATCTATGATAGCTACCATACAGTCACCACATGGAAACAATGCTCTGAAAACAAAAAAAAATATAAATTTAAGAACTAGAAAAGACTGTATACATGAAGATCTAAATATCTCTAATATCCCATTTGGGTATTTAAGGCTCAATATTCCAGACAAAAAGTCAAATATAGACTTCTAAACCATACACAATAATAAGCAGGCTTAATAAAAAAGCATATTGATTGAAAGTTTGAAACACTATATAAATCTTAACGTAGGTATAGACATCTAATTTAAGTTCCCATTACTTTCTATTATTGGTATTTCATGCTGCCATATTGCTTCTCTCTAAGATCATTAGCCCATGCCAGAATAATATTTCCTTTCTATTCATGAAAAATGAGCATTTTGTTTACATTTACTACATGATTTGCAATTAAAAATTCTGCCAATGAACGACCTCATCAAGTATTTACGAATTCTGTCCTGTATTCATATATTTGAACAGAAGATGTACGAATTCTGTTAAGGACTCTGTCCTGTATTCATACATGTGAACAGAAGATTTTTGATCTGCAAATTCGGCTTTTCAAAAGGGTACTTTCTTCCTTATGATGAATGAAAATAACAATTCCTGCAAATTTGAAACCAGCGGCTGCCAGGCAGGATACGCCCACATTTTCGAGAGATGGATAGAAAACAAGCTAAAACGAAAGAGATTTTTCCTACAATCAAGGGCCATAATTCAGAAAATTACAATTCGATATGCGCAAATATCGACAGGAACCAAGATCTTTGAGTTATAAACTTACATTTCAAGTTTCAACAAAATCGGATAAAAATTGTGACCTCTATAGGGTCCACAACCTTGATATACCATATTTTTACGCAATTTGAGAACGAGGGGCGGCCATTTTTTCTGTCAGTTATGGGCCGATTTTCACGAAATTCGAACTCATTCGTCCTTAGGGTGTAACGGTTATATAATAATACGTTTTTTAAAATCGGATAAATATTATGACCTCTATAGGGTCCACAAGCTAAAAACGCAATTTTTCGTACAATCAGGGGCCATAATTCAGTAAGTTACGGTCCGATATGCGCGAATATCGAAAGGAACCAAGGTCTTTGGGCTATAAACTTACATTTCAAGTTTCAACAAAATCGGATAAAAATTGTGACCTCTATAGGGTCCACAAGCCAAAAAACGTGTTTTTGCGTACAATCGGGGGCCATAATTCAGGAAGTTATGGTTCGATAGATGCCAATATCGAAAGGAACCGAGATCTTAGGGTGATAAACCTATATTTCAAGTTTCATTGAAATCGGATAAAAATTGTGACCTGTAGACTGTTCACAAACAATTGTGGACGGACGGACGGACGGGGGCGACGACAATATACGTCCACATGAAAATGTGGGCGTATAAAAAATCTGTAGAATTCTCACAAGATACAAGATGACCTACAGACAACTGAAGGGAGGTGATGACAATACACATGAACATTAAATGTGTATAAAATATGGTATTCATTTATTAGTTAATCATTTAGCTAGCCCTATTCAGTTTAATTATTAATGTATTTTAAACTTTGTCTCTCAATTTATATTCCGAAATTTCAATCAACATCCTAGGAAAGTTGGAATTCTGTAATAGGATGACAATATGATGACAGGTGACAGAATCATGACAATATGATGACAGAGTCTAAGCACATGCTGTTACCTGTCACTCAAGACAAATAGCTTGCAATGTCACCCTTGGTCACACTGCAGTGTTTTCAATATAATTACCATTGAATGTTTTACCAATATTCAGATGACTGGAAACTAGTCAAGATAATCATATATATACAATGCATAATAAACTACTTACTTTAAATTGGCAGTTTTTGACATGGCATCAAAACATTCATCTCTTGATAATATACGATGAGAAAAATATTTGCCATCAGGATCAATAAATCGAGCAATGGTGTGGGCATACATTCGAACACCGAAAGTACAGATATGTAATTCAAACAACTTTGAAATTTTTTCCAGAAATTCTTTAGTGCCAGGCCGGAATTTCGTATGATACCATAAAAGTTTTCTACCATGCCAAAGTTGAAAATGATACACATCCTGAATAAATAATAATAAAAAAAAAGTTTTAAAATTAATACAAAAACAGTCTTGTTACAACCTAACATAGTAACACATTAAATTTTTATGATAGTGCTGTATAATTGCATTATGTAATATAACTCTTGACAGCAGTACAATAATTCAAAACATTAGTGAATTCTAATAAACAAATCACACTTTATCACTACATACATGTAGTGGCTCTAAGAAAGATGTTTAGTTGGCAAGCAGTTCATAGAGGTTACATGATAGTAACAGTGGTTATGGGCAATTTTTAAATTTTATAGGATTTTTCCTGGCACAAGCATAAACCAATGGCAATATAACACAGACAAATTTTAGTTAATCAGATAATAATTTTAAAATCTACAGCAACAGTAAGGATTTTCAAAGGAAACAAGGGCAATAACTCTCACAGTTAAGTTGTCCAAGAAGTTCCATTTTTATTCTTTTGTAGGTAAATAAAAGCCTTTACTGGACATTAGACAAAGGAAACGAGGACCATAACTCTCAAAGTTAAATTGTCTAAGAAGTTCCATTTGTATTCTTTTGTAGGTAAATAAGAACCTTTACTAGACATTAAAAACTGATTAAGAGCAACAACCCACAAATTAATTATCAGAAATAGTTAACTAAAATAAACAAAAGACATAGCTAAATTTGGCTCTTCTAAGTTATTGGAAATTATTGAAAATTTATATGTCTCTTCATTATATGAATATAAACACTGTGCATAAATTTCAAGTTAATTGGATTATAACTTTAGTCTTTGTAGACAACGGACAGATGGACAAACAAGGTAGATGAAAATATCCAACCACATTTCAATTAGACCATATAAAAATAAAAATAAATTTTTTGCCTCTTAGTTACAGCATTGTATTTTTGTGATTTATTCATCAAAATATAAAAGTCACATATACCTACAAGTGCTACAAGTGGCAACAAACATCTTTAACAATAAATGGATAGATCAGATCTTAACAAACAAGATAATCTTTGAATCTGTAAGAGAATTGTATCTATTTTACCTTGAGATTATTTGGTATAGCATCATTGGTCGTGTGAATTAGAGTTTGATCTAAATCAACCAATAAAGCTAATTTTCTGCAAGACAACAGTCGATTTTCATCTGCTTTTCCCAATTCTAAAGCTACCTAAAATAAAATAAAAAAACAACAATTAGTAATCCAATATTATGATGCAGGGAGGATAACTCTATATCTTAACATGGGGGAACATGAAATGAAAATGGGTTTAACGCACTACTTTTTTGTAATGACAGGGCCAATGAAGACGGACATACGCCATACAGTGTGCTATGAGGGAAATTTTGCAAGGACAGCTGAACTACCACCTACTCGAATTCCAACTATCAAGGGATCTTTTAAATGCATGCCATTGTGTACAAGTGGTCACATTTTTTCATCCCATTCGAACGACTATACATTGTCCCTTGCCAGACCTCGGCCAGACAATCCCAAAAAAATTTTCTCGACCAACACCGGGATCGAACACGGAACCCTACCAGTTAGCGAGTCACATCTTATTCACCAAACCAGTACGGCTCCCACAAGTAGAACGTTTCGAAGAGATATTGTATGCTTGCCCAATCTGCCTCAACCAAATTCTCATTTACAGAATCTTAATATAAAATTGTATGAGTGACTTGATAATTGTGACATTCAGTTACTACTATAATAACCCTAGTTTCGATAATTTCTTCCCTCTATTCCTGACAAGGATGGCCTGGACCTTTTCATTGGTAAATTTGAATTCTTGCAAACAAAACACTGCATTTTTCATCACATAAAAATTGTAATCATAGCAAGAGGTAACTGCTCAAGTCAATCACTGCAACAGAATGATTACACACACATACATATTTGAATTTGATTATTGCATCATACAAATTACATCATCCATTTAATCTTGGATTACTCACTTGAATGTAGTTGAATGGTTTAGCATGAAAAACCTCAACAAATGATTAAAAATTTATATTGCATGCCAACCCTACATAGAAACTTACAAGCTTATATCATTTCCTTGATAAAGTATAACATGGCCGAATATTAGTTGCACTGGATTTGGATAAAAATTTCACATACAATTAACATATTTTAAAGTTATGTATATTACCCATACTACACATACCTCTTCACTGACAATCAATTCTGGTATGCAATGCACCATAGCCACAGAGGCTTTTACAGGTTCCTTTCTGTCACCAGCTAGTCCAAGTTCACTAAAACAAAACACAGAATCTTCCTCAATGAAAAGTTTGATTTAGGTGAAAATCAGTGTATCAATTTTAACTAAATGTAAGTCAATGTTGGGATTTAAGTAATTTTTCATTCAATTGTCCAAATATCTGCTCCTCTAAATAAAATGTTTAATCATATACATATATCTACATCAGATTTTAAAACAACAATTTTTCAAACACTTTATCTTAATCCAAATCAAACCAGTCCTTCCCAAGAGAATATTATATATGGAATTGGTTGGATATTTATGAATATCGTTACACTTACATACACTTTTCTTTACATTTTAGAAACGTTAAATTTAAAATAAAAATTCCTACCATCTGAGATCAGCACCACATTCTGCACACATATCTTTCATTACTGTGGGATGTGAACATAAATTTGCTGACTGGGGTCCTATTTCTACAAGTATAGACCTGAAAAGTACATATACATTAAGTAAATTACTAGTTCCTTAAAATAACTGTTAGTTGGACACCTACTGACATAAATAATACATTTACCCTCCAGGGTGACATACGCATGTACATGTAGTCTGTAATCACTCCGAAACCAACATATACTTGGGAACAAAAGTTGTGATCAGGACCTTGACCCTTTTTCAAACATATGATTTCACTCTTCGAAAAGTGTTTATTTGTGGTACCGTTAAATATTTTATGGTTGTATTTTTTTGTTACATAGTATGTAAATGCATGTTGTATGAAAACCCGTATAGTGTGAGGGATCTTGATGGACTTGACATAGTTTTTGTACTGTTGTCAAGGAGTCTGTATTCACCAGATCTGGTGTTCAGGACTAGTCCTACCTTACTACCTCAAATCCCCAAGATACATCGGGTCTAGTAGATTTTACAAGTGATCAAGTAAGTTAAATGAAGAAAGTCATCCACAGTCCTCGACTCTGCAAACACAACATATTGATCAATTTAAATCAACATTGATGTTGTTATCTTACCTTGAAAAGATAGGCTTCTGATATATTATCAAATATTTAAGACAAAATAAAAATCTGAAAATTGGCACACCAATCGCATGCCAGAATGCTTTTGAGTGCCATTTGTAATGAAGCTACTCGATGAATGAGGCTAAACATATCCCACAAGTGAATGCATATTGAGCAATGATAATACTACCGGTGTAGACTGGAATAACTTGACACTGAAGACTGCCATTCAATTTTGACTCATTGGGTATTTTCAATTTTGCCAAACATAACTGATTAGAAATTACTGTAAAAACAGTAGGCTATGCATTGCGACCCATTTGTGTCCCTTTCTAGGTAGCAAAGAATGGAGATTTAGCTCCTTTAAGATATTCTTTTTGTCACTACAACAGAGTTGTACACAGTAAACCATATTTGTGTGTGATAACAGATATTCGCCACTGGCACTTCTGACTTCAGTTTGTAAAATTAATGGCTTATTTGGTGTTACATAATTATTAGTAGGCATATACCTTGGGTTTTTTTTGTATACTGTCCTGAAAGAACATCTCGAAGTAATAAAGTTATATTCTATTCAATAGTAAATTCAAACATCCAACAAATACAGTAATTTTAGTCTAAACAAATTTTAAATTACCCTGGTTCACAGAGTTGTCCTTCTTTGGCTATAATTCTCTTCACAATCCCAGCGTTTGGGGCCTTTAATTTCTGCTGAACTGTATCCTTTTCTTGTTCTTCTGTATTGTACATTGCCATTAACACACCCTTTGATATGTGACTGCCTTGCCGAACTTTCCATTTTGAGATTTTAATGCTTTTATCACCAGGAACTCGCAATTCTTGAACCTCGGCAGCCATTTTCTTTTGTTTAACGTCTTCAAATTAGACTTGGATCACACCCTTGTGGATTGAAATAGGGTTTATTTAACGTCCTACTTGTATGCATAACATTGGCCAAAGAAGAAGGACATCCATGGCCCGTGTCTTGCGGTTTACTATGATTTATATTTAACTCGGACAGCGGTGTTTCCGCCTACTATTCATCGAATTCCAACTATCTAGTGTTTTTATGACACTCTTAATTAATTACCGTTCCCTTTTTTGGCATGCCACACCCCCCTCCCACGTTTGACACCACTACTATAAATTGATAAAATAGTTTTGACTGAAAATATTATGTCTCAAATTCAACACTTATTTTTGCATAAAAAGTGTGCATGGGGGTGGGGAATTTCATATAACGCCACTTCTATATGAACCCTAATAAACAGGCATTATTATGCAAGAATTTAAATCTGCATTGCAGGTCTTTCTTTGGGCCTTAAATGTTATATAAACTATTAATGAGACATTCATTAACATGACAAGACTATAATCAAATCTCAATGCCATAGGATGTGTAGATTAGAACGGTTTGGTCATTTTATTTTTAAATGATTTAATTTACAAATGATGAATCGAGGCTAAGCCGTGTTGAATCCGTGTCCAAAATTTGATATATACTTTAATTTTCTTAACGGAAAGGCCTATCGCATTTAAATTTTATGCCTCACCACTGAACAGTGATACTGCAGTGAAATTTGTCTAGACAGCAACTGAATTCCAACTGTCCAGGGTCCTTTTATGTGCATGTCAAGCAGAAGCGCCGGAACGGCTGGGCTATGGGTGCAAATGCCCCCCCCCCCTCCAGGAGATTACCGTATCCTAAAATGTTTTTCGTACACCAGCAAAGAGATTGTCTGACCGTCTTTCTACTTATAGCTTCAACTCTTCACCATATCTAACAATTGATATGTGTTCGAGCATTGGTTGCTTAGGTAAGAGGAGATCCAATCTCATGCTCGTCTCCGATTAGTGGTGACTGGATTGCGTGTTCAAAGGGCCAACATAATAGGCTAGGCCTACAGGTCCAATCGTTCTAATCTGAGCTAGCTGTGCATGAAACTTAAAATATAGGTTTATTATTATATCCTAAAGATCTCGATTCCTTTTGATATTGGCATGTATCGGACCATAACTTCATGTGTTATGGCCACTGATTGTATGATTGTATGAAAAATCATGTTTTTAGCTTGTGGACACTCTAGAGGTCACAATTTTGATCCGATTTTGATAAAACGTACAGTTATGTTTATTACCAACAGATCTCGGTTCTTTGAATCGATATTCCCGTATGTATTGGACCGTAACTTCTTGGATTATGGCCCCTGGTTGTACGAATAATCGCTTCTCTTTTTTTTTTTTTTAGCTTGTGGGCCCTTTATCCGATTTAAAAACAAACGTTCAATTATATCATCGTTACACCATAATGATAGGTGATTTCGAATTTCGTGAAATTCGGACCAAAACTGCCGGACACAATGGCGGCCGCTCGTAAATATAATGGTATATCGAGGTTGTGGACCCCCTAGAGGTCACAATTTTATCCAATTTTGATGAAACTTGAAATACATTTTATAACCCAAGGAACTTGGTTCCTGTTGATATTTGCGCATCGGATCTTAACTTCCCGTATTATGGCCCTTGATTTTACTAAAAATCGCGTTTTAATTTTTATTCAATTTAGAAAAAAAAACGTTTGAATGGTGTAAACATCTGGTACATTAAAGTTGTGGACACTCTAGAGGCCACAATTTTGATCCGATTTTGATGAAACTTTGAATTTATGTTTATATCATAAAGATCTTGGTTACTTTTCGATAATCGGGCAAATCCGAACGTAACTTCCTGGATTATGACCCCTGATTTTTCGAAATATCGCATTATTAGCTAGTGGATCCAACAGAAGTCACAATTTGTATTCAATTTTAAAAAACGTTACACATCAATGAAGGCTGGGTTCGAATTTCGTAAAAATCTGACGCAAATAGTGTAAAAGTATGTAATACCAAAGTTGTGGACACTCTAGAAGTCACAATTTTTATCCGATTTTGATGAAACTCGAAATGTATGATTATAATCCAAAGATCTTGGTTCCTTTCGATATCAATCTGATTAAAACACAGATCCCATTTCGTTTTGTTTTTTTATAGTTCAAAATTTCGTTTTACTTGTCTTTACTACATTAGGATCCGGAAGAGTTGTTATATATTACCGGCGTTTTCGTTGAAGTGAGGGATAAGCCAATGAAACAGCCTGTTAAGGCGACTTCTTGACGTCCATGCACGGAACTGTGGGTAAACCACTAGAAACGTTAACGCTGATTAATCAGTGTCTGACGTCATAGGGTCAAAAGCCGTTCGTACGACCCCTAACACGACCTTCGAGTACAACTTGTCAGATCTTCATGTAGTGTAGGCCATCGAAAGTATAAGTAATCGAAACGAAATATAGATCTGTATTTTAATCAGATATTCGATATAAATATACTCTTAAAAAAAAGTAGGGAATATTCAGAAACAATACAAAACTGCGGAAATGCACTGCTGTTTTTATTAGAGGTAACCAGTGCATGTTAATAACAGACCAATTGCCTACACATGAACAAAACAGTTTATATGGGCGGCTTATCTGACGGCCCCATTTCACTCGCAAAGAGATACACTGTCATAAGTGAAAATGGACGTTTTTGATTTTTGTCTTAATAATGAGTAATTGCTCCACCAATCCTCAGACATTAAGCAATTCGTCGTGGCATGCTCCTAATCAACCGTCCAATCACGATTTGGGGCAATCTGACCCACTCCTCTTACAGTGCCACGGCCAATTCTTGCAGTGTTGTCGGTTGACGTTGACGTCGACGAACACGTCTCCCGATCAAATTAAACGTAAAACACTAAAGCAAAGATACGCTAAACAGTAAATCTTATGCAAGAACCGATAGGAATGCTAACATGAATAGATAAACCAGCACGCGACAGTTTTCATCAACCCTTTCTTGAAGTGTCAAATTTGACAATGAACCCCTCCCACGTGTATGGCGCTATTGCGTGTCGCATGTGCAGCTCAGTGGTTCTGTTGGGGCGATAAGTTCTTCATCTGTGAACATACTCTGAAAGCATGTCAATTGTTCATGACTATTTATCATATCACAACCTGCATAGGTATTTGCATTTCAATATCCCCTACTTCATTTGATGAGTATATATATGGCCCCTGATTGTACGAAAAATCACGTTTTTAGCTTGTGGGCCATCTAGAGGTCCGATTCTAAAAAACGTTTAAATGTACCACCGTTACACCCTAATAACGTTTGAGTTCGAATTTCTCGAAAATCGGACCGAAACTGTCTGACAAAATGGCCGCTCCTTGTACGCAAATAGTGTAAAAGTATGTAATACCCAGGTTGTGGACCTCTAGAAGTGACAATTTTTATCCGATTTTGATGAAACTTAAAATATATCTTTATATCCCAAATATCTCAGTCTCTTTCGTTATTCGCACATTTCGGACAATAACTTCCTGGATTATGGTCCATGATTTATGGTCCATGATTGTACGAAAAATCGCTTCTTCTTTTTTTTAGCTTGTTCTCTATCCATCTCTTGCAAAATGTGGATGTATCTTGCCTGGCAACCTTTGGTTGAAGATTTTTATCGGATTTTATGGATTCTTTAATTTCAAGTCTTCTAAGCGGGCCGAGCCGTCCCCCTGCCACCCGGACCGCCTGCGCCTCTCGGACTTTCCGGCGTCCCCGATGCCAAAGGTGTACACCCGGACCGCCTGCGCCTCTCGGACTTTCCGGAGCCCCCGATGCCAAAGGTGTACACGGGACCTCGAACGACTAGAACCCCGCCCTGCTTCAATGCCAAGGGGAGACCACGGCATTTTGAACAAGCCGAAGACAATTCAAAATGGGTTCGCCCGTCTGGATGTCACACTTTTTTGGACATTAATTCGGCTTCAAACATGGTGTGGATATATATTATATGTTTATTATTATGTCAATGACTTGACCGAGTTCAATAATTAGGCTAAACAGAGATAAGCAATTTAATTTGTCGATGTATGTTTATTGGCACACGTTAGCGTGACAGTGAAAAAAAACATCACAGGCACTTCAACAAATGCCTTGATGAAATGTATTAAAATATTGTGAAATAAACATCTAAAATTGTTTTGTTATGTATTTGGTATTAGATGTATGCTGATCAAAAATGAAATGACCTCTCCTACTCTTTCCTACCGCCTAGGCCAATGAAGACGAGTCTAGGCCATTTTGTGTGCTATGATGGGAATTGTTCCCGGACAACGGCTCTGTTTATAGGTCTACGAGTGGCGCCCCCCCCCCCCCCCGAATGTTGTGTGCTATGATGGAAATTGTTCCCGGACAACGGCTCTGTTTATAGGTCTATGTGTGGCGCCCCCACCCCGCCCCGCAATGAAACCAAGTACACCCCCCAACCCCCGCGCGGATTTCATATCTGAAATTTTTTCGCGCCTATGATACGGCTCTCAATTCCATTATGTCATCATATTTCCACTCCTCTGTCTTACGTCATCACTATCATATTATTCACAGTTACAGGGTTATATCTATTTGATAAGGCCAACTTCAAGAAATCAGTATCATATTATTCACAGTTACAGGGTTAGATCTATTTGATAAGGCCAAAGTTTGGTCAAAGGTCACAAGATGTAAACAGGGCTAGCGCTAATCCTAATCCTAACCCTAACCCTGGACCTAGCCCTAATGTTTACCCTAGCCCTAGCCTACAATCTCGCCAACAATCACGCCCCTAACCTTATTTACATCTCAGCGACCTTGACGAAAATGAAGCTGGCCTTAACAAATAGATTTGGCCCGGTTCCAGTGAATCGCGCAGTTAGTAGTACCACTAGTGAGTGGGACGTGGGGTGACAGACTGTAGAAATGTTATGTCAACTCTCACAAAACACGCGGAATTGACAGGTAGGCCT